TGTCTTACAAATGTAARTCTCTTACAWATGTACAACTTTTACAAACGTAAACCTCTTACAAATGTGAATGTCTTACAAATGTAAGTCTCTTACATWTGTAMMMCTKTTACAAAYGTAAACCTCTTACAAATGTGAATGTCTTACATATGTACAACTTTACAAATGTAAACCTCTTACGTAGTCCCAAAGTGATTGATCAATCATGTCAGTATAGATTTCGTTAACTTGGGAGAGCCTTGTGTATTGATTTTAGTTTAATCACAAGCCAATTACTACTAGAAAATCTACGTTTGGACTTTTGGAAACTTTGACAGATCGGAATTACCTATCAGTTTGAAATGACACCAACTCGAACTATTACCAACTCAAACTGACACCAACTCGAACTGACACGAACTTGAACTGACACCGACTCGAACTGACACCAACTCGAATTGACACCAACTTGGAATGATATCAACTCAATTGAGACTAACTCGAACTGATACCAACTTGGAATGAGATCAACTTGAACTGACGCCAACTCAAACTGACATGAACTCGGACCAAGATCAACTCGAAATGAGATCAACTCGAAATAAGATCAACTCGAACTGACACCAACTCGAACTGACACCAACTCGAACTGACACCAACTTGGAATAACACTAACTCGAAGTGATACCAACTCGAACTGACATCAACTCGAACTGACACTAACTTGGAACGAGATCAACTTGAACTGACACCAACTCGAACTGACACGAACTCGAACTGACACCAACTCGAAACGAGATCAACTTGGAATGACACTAACTCGAAGTGATACCAACTCGAACTGACACCAACTTGGAATGAGATCAACTTGAACTGACGCCAACTTAAACTGACACGAACTTGAACTGATACCAACTCGAAATGACACCAACTCGGAACGAGATCAGCTTGAACTGACGCCAACTTAAACTGACACAAACTTGAACTAATACCAACTCAAAATGACACCAACTCGGAACAAGATCAGCTTAAACTGACGCCAACTCAAACTAACATGAACTCGGAACGAGATCAACTCAAAATAAGATCAACTCGAACTGACACCAACTCGGAACGAGATCAACTCGAAACGAGATCAACTTGGAATGACACCAACTCGAACTAACACCAACTCGGACTGATACCAGCACCAAACGGGATATCTTACCGCACAAGACCGTTCATACGACACCAAACGGGATTTCTTACCGCACAAGACGGRGCRTACGRCACCAAACGGGATTTCTTACCGCACAAGACGGGGCATACGACACCAAACGGGATATCTTACCGCACAAGACGGAGCGTACGGCACCAAACGGGATWTCTTACCGCACAAGACGGTGCGTACGGCACTAAACGGGATTTCTTACCGCACAAGACGGGGCATACGACRCCAAACGGGATAYCTTACCGCACAAGACGGAGCACACGACACCAAACGGAAATTTTTACAGTTTTTCCGTTCCGGATCACTGCTCTCTTGAAGCCATTCCTAATGCAGAGGGGGGGGCCTCTATCATTCATATGTCAACGTCTCTCCCTCGAGACCTACCAGTTGTGGACCCTAGAATTCCCTTTATGCTTATGGCTTTTTAGGTGTTTATTATGCCGTTAAAGGGAATATAATATAGAATATGATAATTCATCTTGGGCCTGACTCTTGGGATCTTCTTTACTTCACTAACGCAAACCTTGGGATTTGTTCTATGTATGTTATGAAATCCCAGTAATTCAAATGCTAGCATGCTTTAGCTGTATACTAGTTTTAAGCCGCAGCTTCCCAACTCAAAGAGCCAGCCAAAGACGAGCTGATGATGACTCTATAGACCCGTATTTTTTGGAGATATAGCAGATCATCCTTCAAACCTACAACGCAGAGATTTATCATAATAAAACTTTCAAACAATTATAAGCTGTAATGTACATACTTTTAACATTGCTAGGTAGTCTCTCTCGTTCCCACCAAGTCTCGCATCTTCCAGAACTGGATCACATACCAGATACTTTATATGTCGACCCAAATTTGCTGCAAGCAGGCCGAACCTCGGAGTGGAGACTTCCTTAGGGGAGGCTTAGACGTATACTTCCGATAATCCTTATATGTAATCAGCAACCAAAGCAACGCTTTGTGAAGCTTGATATGAACTAGCTTCGTTCGCTGCAGCAGTCGAAGGCGCCCAATGAATCACAAACGGGCAGGTTTATGCACCAAGCACAGCTCTACCACGCTACCGTGGAGCACCCTGTAACTTAAGAAGTATCTGATATCCTTCCAACGAGATACTGTAGTTCCGGTTACTATAATTTTGACAGGATGGCAGTATCTCATCTGATCTTGCTGTCACTACCATGTCTTGCTGTGTTTGATAATATAACGGTGTGATAGTCCTGACTACGACGTTTAGGGTATAGTGATCAATCATGACGGGACCAGTTCTGAACAGGACCGTGTCCGTTTCTGGCATCGGTCCCAACATCAGTGTAGCACCGTTCCCGAATTACTAGTAACTCCTTTGGAACAAATGCATTTCCTCTCACTGATTCCAATTCGAGTACCAGCTCTGTTCCCAAAATGTGAGAGCAGTTCACAATGATTCTCGATCTTGCAGTGGATCAAATTTCGGTGTTTTAGAAAATCTATTTTAACTTCATTGGCGCAGCTTCATGCCTCGCAGCTTACACATATATTACAGCAAATTTAGCTCAAGTAGTCTCTTCGTCAAATCATCATGCAGCTGCCGGTGGAGATAATCTTGCTCATTATTTCTCATCTACCGTCGTGGGAAGTCAAGAAGTTATCGCTAGTGGACAAGAGAATGAGAGCACTATGTATTCCATCTCTCTTTCGGTCAGTACGAGTAGGGTTCTCGAGGAGCAGTCTCGGCTCACTGATGAGCCTTACATCGTCGGCCCTATGCGAACGGGTGACAGCTTTCACATATGTGGCCCCACAGTTACTGAAACCGGGTACGAGGTATCCAGCAAAATTGTCCTTTCCAAACTGACCCTTTTTGAGATGTGACCAACTTCGACTTCTTCAAGTCTTCCATGTTGACGCCGGAAAGTTATGTGGAAGTGGCAAAATCTCAGGCCGATCTGGGATGTCGACCAAGTGAATGTGCGCCGTATATGGCCATCTTTCAGACCATGCGAAATATCGGCAGGAAACAGAATCAGATCCTTGAGAATAGAATCGATCAAGCAGCACTATCAAAAGCTCTGTGTGTTTTCCCACGCTTGAAAGAGCTCACGGTGCATTTCTGTGTGCCCCTGGAAAGGAAACCATGGCTAGAAGCATATATCGATCACAACATCGATATTAGTGATGGGCTGTATACACACCACGTACAAGTCGTTGCACAAGCCTTGTCCGACAGATCGAAGTGGGGCCTAGACCAAGTCGACAGTATTCATTTGCGGGGATTTCAAATTCAGACCGGGCACCAGTATGAGATCCCAGATCTGATGTCTCTATCTGCTCATTTACAGAAATTACTGGTTGGAGTGCGCAGTCTCAAGATGACGCAGTCTGACTCCGCCGTGGAGGTGCTTTCACAATGGGATCTAAACATTGATGAGCTTGACATGTGTGATATGATGATTGATTACGACACTCTGAAGCGGTTCTTTGCTGCCAACCAACCAACTCTTCATTCAATCGGTTTTCACAACGTCGTGGTAACAGAGGTTCCCTTTGAGGAATCTGCATCTCAGCTGAACGTGGACATACTATCGGAACTGATCGGTGCTCGTAGGGGAGCACAGGGCCAGGCAACCACCTGCCATTGTCATTCTCGACACAACGGTTGGAGGATCGTCTGGGAGAAGGAATCTCTTGACTAGTCTATGCCTGAAGATATAGAATGAGAAAAAGCAGACATAAATATAGTACGAGTCCCTTTGCCAAAATATTGGACAAGCAATATCTGTATTACAATTGAGCCACCCCATGGATCCTAAGATTGAACGACGAAAGGCCCTCCAGAGGCGCAGCAGACGAATGAAAAACCTTCTTCTGAAAGCAGTCGACCTGAGCACTCTCTGCGATGCGGAAGTATTTTTGGGTGTTCGAATTCGGGAGACGGGCCGTGTCACCACATTTTGCTCTGATCCAGAAGGGCTCTGGTCTTCTGCTACCTTGAACTTAGTGTGTTTTTCTCGGCTTCCTACTCTCATATTCGAATTGACAATGAATAGAAAAACTACTACCCCATCCCCGTCAATAAGACGCTAGAAGATTTTCACCATGGAAAGGATCAGAACAAAGATCAGGAGCCAGAGGTGGAAATTGAGGAAGCTGGTGGAGAAGAGTGAATGAATCTCGTTCTGTTGACTATATTCCGATGCTATATGTAATATGGTTGTTACCCAAGAAGGCAATTCAGCACGTCAAACAAGACTATACATATATAGAGGATCAGGATATCAATCGATTCAGTGGCAGTGGAAGTCACCCCGATATTTTATCTCTACATACTTTGTCATGGTTAATGCTAGCATTAAAATGCTTCAAATACGTTCTTGTGTTTCCAAGTAATGCTCAATTGAACATGGGAATGCTAAGTTGATGCTAAGAAAACTGGGCTGGCTTCATTTTACATGTTACTATAAAGCATTCATTCCTCTGCCTCCTCAAGGATTTGTTACTTAAGTATCAGAAACAATGGCATGATCAATGAAGTTCGTTACCACACAATGCCGTTTCCGCCCTATGGGATAAGCGAAGGATGAGTGTAGTGGAATCTTCAATCAGCCTACAAGACTTCGCAGCAGTGCAGCAGTACATTGTAGTGTACCGACAATAGCTCGTCCCGCAGGTCGCATAGTGATGGCTTCGCCGCTTAGATCTGCGTTATCAAATCGTTGAAGTCACGATAAAAGCTTTCCATGCCGGGATGGGTGTGCAATAACGGTGTTCAAACGGAACAGCGATCTGTTGTCGTAATGGGCTCCATTTCCATGCTCAAGATCGAGAAATTTTAAGACAGGCGATGATCTTAAAATCCGATGTCATAAAGAGCAACCTTGCATTGAAGTGACCCAGACGGGAACAGCCGTGACCCAAAATCGGAATGGAAACATGGGCCGAACGGGAACGTACCCCTAGCGGTCTCAAACCGGACGGAACGCCCGGCGCCCCAGATGCAAATATGGATTGATTCTGAATTGTCTAAAAACAGTGCTGCGTCAAATATGTCAAGGGTGACTTCTGATACACAGGGTTAGGATACATTTATTTGTATCACTCGGAGTGATGCCTGTTTATATCCAAATGGGCTTTGAGGACTCAGATGACTATAGTAACCATTTCTATCTAGATGTTGGTTATGGGGAAAAACTGCCTATGAGTCTATACTCATGCAATAATATCCACCAACATACGATCGTAATGAGATTGAATTGAATTCTTGTGTTCATCTAGGGCATGTATTTATACTAGATGGAAAGATGCTCTATTTATAATCAATTGGTCGATGGTAGGAAGAGATCGCTGACCCGCAAAGGAAGAAGCTTGAGACGCAAGATGTTGGAAAATATACGCTTGCCATATCTTTACTCGCCTATTCAAGATACACTGATCACGGGACTGTTTCTAAGCACGATCTCCTTGGCCATTCATCTTGCAGTGAAACGTCGCACTTCGTTGCAGTTCACTGCTGACGATGGTATGCTTTCTCAACTGCTCTCTTCAGGTTCTTGGAGTTGATAAGGCCACAGTCTGTCTGCTCATCTCTTGGGTACCAATTACCTTCACATCACCATCGTCTAGCAGAAGCTAAACTGATCTTAGGGGCTGTCCGTGGGTACCCAGTCAGTGATATTGTGTGAGTACGCTTCTCATCCACAATGATACGCACTGACCAGCGTAGATGCTCTCAACCATGCGGGACTTGGGGTTCACATTGTTGATCTTGATTTGTCAACGCTTAATCAATTTCAGATGGTAGCGAAATCCTTGGAACCTCTGCAAAATTCCAATGCTGATTACGCTTGGTTAGTTATATCTCAGTGCTATATGTCTATTCATGTCCAGCTTCTGCCTAGCGAAAATTGCGCAGCTATTGTTTCTCTATCGACTCACGTCGAATCGAGGTCGCTTTCGTACCAGCATTTACTGTGTAGCCGCCGTCGTCATCATAGGATCAATCACGACATCGGGGTGTTTAATATTCGCATGTCGACCGGTTTCCAAGTCGTGGAATGCAGCTGAAACCGGGCAGTGCCTCAACCGCGGCGCAGTCTATGTAGCGATTGCTGTGTTGAACATCATCTCCGATCTGACATTGACAATGCTTCCGGTTTCCTTGGTCATATCCTCGCAACTGGCCGCTGCGTACAAGGTGCGCGTTGTTGCGATGATGCTGGTATTTCTCATGTAGGATTTGGTCCGTGGGAAAATGAATCTATTGCATCGTTAACGTTTCCTGCAAGATAGAACCGTGATAACGGGTGTGGTCCGACTGACTGTCACAATCATCCTTTTACACTCCAGCGATGAAACCTACGATTCCGCCCCAGTGGCACTGCTCGTGTAAGATCTATGTTATTTGATAAGCCATCCATGTGCTGACAGAATCCTCAGTGGGGTTGAATCTAATTTATTCATCCTCACAGCGAGCCTTCCTGGAGTTCGGCAATGCTTTCGCATCATTTCGACCCATTCCTATAACCATCGCACAGAAACTGATTTCCTCACGGCTTTCGATTGAGGCAGAATTCTTCCCTGTAATTTTTTGAGTAGAGCGGCTTTACAGCTGGCTATTTTTCGTTGAAGGGGACCGCTAATCGCAAGGACTTCTACAAGATCGCACGGGAACTAACACCACGCGATTGAAGTTAAGGATACGGGCTTATGAATTATGTAATACCCAATGTATGTAGTCACGTGATGCAATATAATCGAGAAACCCGTTAGAGATAGCCTTGTGAAATACTTGTTATGTCAGAACTAATTCATGATTTTCAACATATTCTGGTCCACGAACCACATATGCCACCTCGCGATTAGGGCCTACATGAGCACGTGACAACGCATCAAAACACCCTTGAAAGTCCTAAATTTGAAAGTCTATTATGAACTATAGTTATACATTCAACTGGTGTACTGCAGCAACATGACATTGCCAATGCATCTGCTCAAGATACTCCATTCCATCGGCGCAGGATTTGCATCGTCGATCGTTCATATGCTTTGGCCGGAAGTGTCTTAGAAGGCTCTGGTACTGACTGTACTTTTTGCCACATTGGAAGCAAACCAGGGGTTTTTCGGGAGTCTCACGGGGCTCCTGGTTTTTGCGTTTCCTTTCGAGAGGCTGTTCATCATCTTCCAATACTTCTGTCGGAGTTGCTTCTACTGTTGAAAGCCCCTCGACGTCTCTCTCGCTTCGCTTGCGTTTCGGCCGGCCTCGAAGTGGTCCACCTTCTTCAAAATCACAATACATGATAATAACTTCGGTACCAACGTTACGTCGCTTCCATTCGCCTTCGAGCGTCCATTCTACCGGGACAGCCATTAACCCTTCCACAAGCATCGTCTGTTCGGGAGGTGTATCATCTTCCGACTCTGATTCTTTCAAAGCGTCGTCTTCGGATAGTATCTCTCCAGCACGCTGGGCATTGATATCTTTGACTGCTTGCTCGTCGCTAAAGGCTTGTCGGACTTCCTTTTTCTTCCGATACCGCAACCGTTGCCGCGTATTTTTGATGTTACGTTCTGCTTCGGCGACTTCCTGTCCGAGTATGAGATTAGGAGTTTGCTGAAATTTGTCCAGCAGGGCATCCCGGTTACTGATAGCCGTTTGCAACTCGGGATCATCTTCCACCAGAGCTTTTTGAGTGTCGTCCAGGTAACGTGGTCGTCGTTTATCAGCGTAACGCGAGATGCTAGTCAAAGCTCGACGGATGACCTCATCTGGCTTCAGCCCGAAGACCGCTTCTTGCATGTCTGTATGTTGTCTGGGACGATAGTATTTGAGGAAGGTGGAAGTATCGGCATGATGGAGGACCAAATTGCGTTTAGAGTCACTCACCCATTCTATTGCACTCTGGTCAATAAAAAGCCATGTAGAAGAAATCAAGACACGTACCGGTATCGTCAAGGATTCCCCCTGTGCCATACCGGAATTGATGGAAAAAGAACCATGCTAGGAGTCCGATAATCTCCGAGATGGTCCGTATAGCGCTGTTGTAGTGACCATCACTCATTGGCTCCTTCCGAAGGATCTGGGGCTTTCCATCGATCATGTCCACTTTACAAAACAGGTAATAATCATCCATGGCCTCCTCTAATGGCAATGGTAACTCTTGACAACCACGCATTACAAAAAGACTTCGAACATCATCCATGGATCGAATATCAGCCTTGAAAGCCCTCGCATGTAGCAACAGTCCCATGATAAATACATGCGGACTGAACACAAGGGAGACACCAAGAATGATCTCGGGAAAAGAAAACGTATTCCTGCCATGAGATCAGATTTGATGTACTTTTCAGCAGACATTTGATTGACATACAGATTTGTAATCCCAAGAAAGGACTTGACATACTCGGGCTTGATGGCAATGTCGAGTATAGGAGGTCCGCCATAGGGATTTCGGAGTAGACTAATACGAAGATGCTTGTACTGTAGTTTCAAAATCGCGGTTTTGCGGCCCGCAGTAAAAAGGCCAAGCATCAGGGCCAGACACAACATGATCCTTTGGATGCCGAGTAAAAACCTTTTTTTGCGCGTTTGCAGGATCGTCTCATTGAATTTGATCATATCGTCAATGTACACTGGGACATTGTCTCGTGGCTGGGTACCTAACTTGTTCTCCTTGATTAACCATTGCCTGCCCTATGATATGTTAGTCCAGCAATCACAATATCATAAATTTGACAGTAGCATACCGTACGGAGGCTCTTCTCCATTGCTTTATCCATCTTTTTGCCTAACACATTCTGGTAATAAATTCGAAAATATTTCCAATCGGTGTTGAAAGTGCCCGCATGGCCATATCCCGGCAGCTTTCGGCCGTCTATTCCATATTCTAGTTTGAAACACCATTTCAAGAATTGAAATATACAGTCTGCGGACGCTTGCCGAAGAGCGTTTTCTGGGTCGCTCCATCGAGCGCAATCCGGTTCACGTTCTAAACTTTTCTGGCAAAATCTGTGCAAGAGTTAGTGAAAATCCATACCACATAGGAGGCATGTCTAGTGCTGGACAAACCGATGCCAACGATCAATTACGCGGTTCCTTAATTTTTTTGTGCCATCAGCCTTGTTGAAATCTGGGTCGATATCAGAGAGCCTCTCGGTGGTATCAACATCCGGATCCTCGTACACACGGCCCTTAGAAGTAGTGATCTGAGCAGAATTGTCCTCATGTGGTGGTTGGGACCGCTGTATACTTCGTCGAGACCGTGGAATCAGGCTTGGAGCCGATATACTACTGAATTTATCATCAGGCTTGGTGATATCCGTATCTGCAGTATGACAGCTGGAAAGGCTTCTTCCACTCTCTGTCTCTGATTCATCAGAATCACCAGACCAATGTCTGTTAGGCATCGAGCAGGAGCGAATAGATTCCCATCGAGAAGTCTATAATGATGAAATTAAGAAGAAAAAAGAGGGAGTTAAGGAGAGAATATTAGTAAGGTTTACGGGAATTTTGGCGAAGTACATATACAATTGCCAAATTGCTCGAAACAAAACGGTACTTGCAGAACAGAACAAGTAGGACTGAACTGGTGACTATGACTGGGAGCAGTGGGTCGAATGGTTGCCTATGGAGTGCGTGGTGATAGATCTATCGAGTGCGTGGCGGAAGGCATTGTACCGCGCAAGCCGAAAATCGCTCCCCTTTGAGTCTAGTGCCGCTGCCCGGGTACAAATTGAAAATCTAATATAGTAGGTTATAGACTTTTTTTTTGAATCCTTCTATCACTATGCTGCCAGAGAAGGCATCTATGAAGAGTGTGATAAAGAATAATTAGTTAAATGAAAACTATAGGAAACTAGGACACCTTATATCTAGTACAGGCTAATTATATTAGAAAATTAGGTAATAAAATATTTAAAGATATAAGACTGCCTAGCACTATAGTATAGGATACTCTGCTTTAAGATAGAAGCTGTAGATCTTATAGATAAGCTTCTGACACTAGTGATCTAAGGAATATATAACTATTATAACTCTTATAAGTAGAAATAATAGTAAGAATATATAGCTTTAATAGTAGCTACTTATATAAAATTACTTTTATTAATAATTCTAGCACTCTTTGTTGTTAATAGTACTACGGTTGACCCCGGTGATTTCCCTAGTACGGTGGGCCTTGCAGGGGTGTAGGCGGTCAACGAAGAAGCCCTTACCGCCTTCCTATATTAGTTATTACTTACACCTTGAGAATTATATTCGTACGCGCTCCGGGACGCGCTCTAACTAATCAACCATCAATATGCCTACCACCCCAGAGCCCCCTAGTGCTCTAGAAGCAGATTTAGGAGCAGAATCAAAGCCCTATTCTAAACGGCTTGATAGAGATGACCAGATTTATATATTAGCACTATGAGATGCTGGATTTATGTATCTTGAGATTGCTAAAATGCTTCTTATTACGTATGACCAAGTTCAATATACGTGTTAAAGCCAATGTGCTATACCTAAAAAGGCCCGAGGCCGGACTCTAAAGTTCTCTGAAGATGAGGTTAATTATATTATTGAATGGATAAGCGCCTTAAAATGTATGCGCCGTATGCCTTTTTATAAGGTAATATGTGAGCTCGATCTTCCAGTTGGACCTACGGCATTATCGCGAGCGCTTAAAAAAAGAGGATATATATGTTGCAAAGCCTTACGGAAGTCTCCTTTAAAGGATAAACATAAACGTGTATATTTAGCCTGGGCTCTAGAGCACGTTAATTGGTCAATTAAGTAATGGAATCAAATCCTTTAGATTGATGAGATATGGGTTATATCAGGCTTTTATACGAGAATCTGGGTTATTAGAAAAGCTGGTGAAGAGCTAGATCCTATATGTCTACGTAAAACCCCTGCCTGGAAGCGCGGATGGATGTTTTGGGCTTCATTTTATAGTGATATCAAGGGTCCATGTCTATTTTAGAAGAAAGAATGGGGGACTATTAGATCCAAGAGCTATTGTGCGAGAATAGTTCCTATTATTGATGGATATATACGCCTCAATCGATAACAATCTCAATATCTTCGATTGATGTAGGATGGCGCACCGGGGCATGCAAGTAAGGAAACAAAAGAGGAGCTATGAATCAGGGGTATATATCCTATATATTGGCCTGCGTTCTCTCCGGATTTGAATCCAATTGAAGCCGTATGGAATTGGATGAAAGATTGGATCTAGGAGTAATATCCAAATGATGAGCAGCTTTCTTATGATCAATTACGTGAGGTTGTACGGGCTTCTTGGGATGCTTTGCTAGATCAATTTCTTAAGGATTTGATTAATTCTATGCAGTCTAGGTGTGAGGCTGTGATTGCTGCTGAAGGTGGCTATACTAAATATTAGTGTAGTAAGCAAAAATTTATGTAATTTAAATTTAGCAGAATCGGCAGAATTGGCAGAATTGGGTAAATTTGATTGGTAGTTGACCCCTGCACAAAAAACCCTACTAGGGAAATCACCGGGGTCAACCATAGTAGGATATTTTAATTCTTTGATAAGGAGCATGCAAAATATAGCTGATTATTGATATAGTTGATGCAAAATTACATAAATATTATATTAACCCTAAAAATAATTGTCTTGGGATTGAATGTCTCTTTGGAGAGCTGCTAGATATATAGTAATGCTATATTAATCTTTTAATAATAGAGTTTCTCTTTCACCTGAAACCATATTAAGAAACCCTAGTATACATATAGCTAGATCCGGAATAACCCTGGTCCCTGTAATTTTTCATCTTTGGTACTGAGTGGTAATAAGATACACGCTAATGTGAATTACTGTACTGGCTGGGCACCTTGACCGAAAACCAGAAATCCGTTTCGTCCTCTCCTTCATTTCCTTCGAAGATTTAATTTTAGGGATATCAGCGATATTCTAGAATGGGACGAAGACTTGCATTACTGTATCAAAAAATTCAAATGAGATGTGATAAACTCAGAGGCAAAACCGGTGTCGGGGTGTTGCACTCTTTCATTTATTCCCAGAAGGTTCCATGCGAAATGCAACCCTATCACACCGGAAAGGCATGGCTCGGCTTTCAATGTAACACATGTCCCCCTCCACCATTGGGATATCTTATAGGACATGTAGGGACCCTTTACATTAATGCGGCTCATCTCCTTTCTTGTTTCTTAGATTCGATCTTTCATCATCTAGATACAAAGCAATTGCTTAAAACACAGCAATGTGTCCTTTTGGTTCACAGTGCAGGATTCTTGTCCTTTGCCTGGTAATTACGGCCGTGTTTGCCAGCATAGATCCAGCTTATGACCCCTCATACAATTTTCGCCCGCAGAATGTGGCAGGGTTGATTGGAATATACAACTGGATCGGATCGTACGTCTGATGTCACGGCGTATTTTATAATCACATATCTAAGGCAAATATCCAAATCTAGGTACTACAACGCAACTGCGACAGTTGAATACACGCCTCTGATTGGAGCAACAGTCAATTATTCTGTATGTCCTAACTTACAAGACCAGACGTTCAGTTTTGAGTATAGCTCTATACTTGCCATCACTCAGCCAAGCAAGTACGATCATACTGGCAATCCATTCACTTTGCTGCTGGGCTTCTGGCCATCAGGGTTTAACTTTTCGTCGTTACCGCTGCTGTCAGTTAGTGATGAAGTCTGGACTGAGTACCCACCAAATGGGGGTGGAATATTTTCGAATAAGTAAGCGTTTAACAAATATCCACTGATATTCAGTGTCTATCTGTTATACTGATTTGATTAGCCCTGAAAATATGTACAGGTGGGTAGAAAATACCACTATAACTGAACCCTACTTCAACATCAGCTTAACGGAAACCAATGGGGCCCCGTACAACCTATCGAGTTCCTTGATACCCCCACAGGGACCACAGATTCTCTATCCCAATATGACTTCCTGCAACACCACTATTGACAGAAGCGAGTGGGAAGCTAACGTTATCACTGAACCTTGGTGGGACAATGTGGATTGGAACTGGACATACCCGGTACTCGGCCTCCAGTTTGATAATCTCACGGCAAATCTAACACTAGATGGATATTTTACGGCCTATCCATATATGCTGTCCAATGTCTCAATTGATAACACAACTCTCGAGATTGATGACTTTAATACTGTCCAAGGAAAGTTCAAAATTCGGTTTTTGGGGGTTATTGATAACTATCACTCTGATGTATTAGTGGAGGATAGTCCGACTCCTAACTGGTTACGAAGCGTGGGTTTTCGGAATAATTCTCTTAATATTGGATACAATGAAGCATCAAGGGGCTATGGACGCAGTCACCTATTGGGTGTTGTTGGTACTATGTTGCTTGCCATTCTGGTTATATATGATTAGAGAATAGAAATGTTTAATAATTTATTAATGCCAAATAGATAGACAATGTACTCTTATAGTCCTGATAGAGCTGTTTGTTGATATAAATGACCTTTAGCTGTTGCAGCATTAATTATAGGTCATATAGAAAAGAATTAATATATAAGTCCTTGCTGATTATTTTGCTACTATAGTATAATAAAGTCTATATGCAAGGCATCTGCGAATGTCTTTTTAACGCCATGTAAGCTGCAAAGCTAAACTATACCCAATATTTTAATTTTTAAACTTGGAGTAAGGGTCTTAGTTGCAAGTATTATATTACTTTCTAAGTATCTCTCTTTATTATATATAATTATTTATTGCTTGCTATCAGTGCTGTATTTTACATATCCGAGTCTTTTATGGGGAGAACTTTATTATCCGACTTGTTTTGCTTTTATTGAATTGTATATGGCTAGGCGTTTCTGAGCACTCATCAGTGTTCTGCCTGTTTCATTGTTTTAGGGCCACAGCGTGCAGAGCGCATGTCTTCTAGTATAATGCGTCATGCCACGAACATGGTTGCCATAGGAATCAGACTACAAGTGGTTTAGCTCCTCTTGGCGCAGGCTTTGAGAAACTATGAAAGAGTGTAAGGAACACTGTTGAGTGCAGTCGAAAAGCGGTTTATTATATACGATCGAACCTTGAAAAGTTTGGTAGTGCAAGAGCCCCTTCAATCCGCCCCGGCCCCCAACTCGAATATTCTAGATTTGTATTTTATCACCGTACATGTACTGTAAATAAAAATTGGTATCAACAGGTTTCTGGATTAACATTATTCCTATGCTAGACCATTTCTATAATAGCGTTTCTTGGCACTGTTTCAGATGAAAGAGAAGAGAGTTTGGTTGTTACTCTGAACCTGCAAAGTAGTGTACTGTAAGTGTGCGAATGTAGTGCTCTTCGACTGGCGAACCCCAAGAAGTCGTTTCGCGAAGAAGTTTCCATAGTTTTCCAGTCTGCGGGAACCTATTCTAGGACCCTATGGTTGATGTTGATAACTAACACTTGTAGAAGAGAAACAAAGCAATGTAGATATCTTCTTCTACACATCTGTCCAGTACAAATACTGTACATTAATCATACCGTGAACGTAGTTGCCTCGGAGTTTGAAGAAATGCTCTCATCTGAGCAGTGAAGTATTAGGGCATCCTCTCATGCTCTTAGCATAGAAAGGGAATGTAAAGTCGTGTAGCCTTCTAGGAGCAAAAGAAAAAGGAAGTAATACAGCCTCTCTTTGTCAAAGCCATTTTCATTTTGTCCAATCAAAGGGAGCTGTTTCCGACCATATTGCATAGTCAATGCAAGCTTCTTCCATTATATATCACATCACAACCAAGTAGCTAAAATTCCGTATGCACAAACCATGCCAAGCTTACCAAAACAATGGTACTCTTACGTCCCATACGGGTCGTAAAATACTGGAATACCAGTCTAAACCTATTATGGATTAGGCAACGGGAGTGGCGCCGAGAAATTAAAGAGTTGCAAATTATGTAAAGCCGCTCATGCAATGCGCTGTAACAGACCGGGGAGTCTGATTCTTCGAATTATAGTACATATGTGTAACTTTTCTGTTAGCAATTTTAAGAAGTATCGCAGATGCTCAATTGTAGAAAGCAACAAAGTGAAGGAGAAAATCGGGGCGTCCGCATTAGAAAATCTTGGAACGATCCAATAGTTGCCTCATTGGGCAACCTTTGTTTTTTCGGCCAATGAGATTTCCAACATATCTCGAGTCACTGAACAAAGAAGGAAGGGAAACACCGTGTATCTATACCTTCTCCCATTTTCATCTAATTTCGGCATGCATTTCACCAATCGTTCCTTGTGGAAAAGCCTTTCTTTCATCTCTTCCTGGCTTATCCGAAATCCACTGAAAATGCAGACAATCGAAAGCTTTGACATCGATGCATAGGAACGCAATCTCGAATGTATTGGACCTGTAAACTGATAGTGTCGAAACAAAGAAAGTAGACTCGAGACCCTGGTCATCGGTAGATCGAAGATTTCCCTTGTTCAAGAATGTGGGCACGTGCGGCTGGCTTCTACAAAGGCTGCACAGCGAATGCAACCTCTAGTCACTAGATCAGCGCGATTAAACTGCTGATAAACTGCCACTACACTGACTTCCTGTATTGACTCCTTCATCTCGTGAAATCTGATCTATGACTTGGAAGGTTCCAGGCCACTGACCTCTGTTCATATTGAAGGTATAGAGAAGAGTATGATACCAGGATGCATAGTAGATCTCATGTGCTATTTTCGCAAAGTAACACACTAATTCAAGTCCCAATCCGGACTGCCTAAGATTCCCTCGAAATAGTAACCTCGATCTCTGCGAGTCAGTGAGGACACGCCATTGGGTATGAGTACGTATCTGTGTAACTCGTCGTATTTCCCCCGCACAACCCTGAGATGCTACAACGCGAGAGCGCTGCGCGAACTGGAGCGAGATGGCAGGGCTAATAAAAAATGGAATAACAAAGCAAGAACTAAACCGCATACAAAGAATGACTCTATTGTCTAGATATCTTGTTCCTGATTGGAGTTGGGGGAACCCTCTGGCCAGGGGGCAGATACTTCGATAGGAGGCTAGCCAAGCCCTAATTATTCATTGCATGTTTTCGAATTTGCCTAGCAATTCGGTCGTCAAATGCTGTTTCAAATGTTGAATAAATTTACTCTTGAACATGTAATACATCTTTCACTGATAAGTTTTTTCATATATCTGCTACCTCCCCGAAAATTGTGAGACAAGAACCGAGATTTACAATGCTATAGCGTCCTATACATACATCCAAAATTATGGTTACACGGTTTGTTGGAGATGTGCGGACTCCCGCGGTTGACGTCGTGACATGGTTTTTGCTGGTTGTTGCAATGATCGCTGTTTCGATTCGACTTGGAACTAAGTTATGGATCTTTCGCAAGCTTCACAAAGATGATTATATCATGATTCTTTCTGCGGTACGTTCTAAAGAGAGCTCCCTGTTTACTGGAAGTCATCCACTTCAAGAGACTGGAATTGACAATTTTGTTTCCATGCAGATCTTTGATATCGGCCAAGTCATCTGTGTATCCATTGCCGGTATCAACGGCTATGGTCGACACATCGTAACGTTAACCCAAGAGCAAATAACCACAATCCAAAAATGCATATATGCTCAGCACGAACTTATTATAATGACAATGACGCTCTCGAAAATATCATTCATTATGTTCGTCAGGAGCATTACTGTGGTCCCCTTGGATCACAAGGTCGCCATGGGCCTGATGATTTTTACATGGGGGTGGGCCCTCAGTTTCCTGATTACTGGAGCTGTACAGTGCAAACCTCCAGAGCCGTGGAATTATCTGGGTAAAAATTGTTTCAATCAGGTGAGATTCTGCGTCAAGATGATTCTATTCCATAGCGTTAGTCTTTTAGTCAAGTGAAAAAGGTCTGACATTTGTTGTTTGTTTACAGAGAATTTGGAACGACTTTTTCAGTATAGGAGATATCCTCACCGATGTGGGAATTTTAATCTATACAATGGTCATCATTGCACGGATTCGTACCAAACTCAGTATGAAAATAGGACTTGCCATTGTATTCGGTATGCGAGTGCTGTAAGTACGATAAAAGACAGAGAAACAAACGATTACTAACACGGTAATCGTTTCTTCTAGTGTTATTGCTGCCATCACGGTGCATATCACTACCCTCAATGCATCCTTCGCAGCTAACGACAGCACGTACGAACCCTGGATTGCAACCATTGCAAGTCAAGTAGCTATTTGCATGAGCAATGTCACCGCATGCTCCCCCCAATTCAAACCGTTCCTCGAGAGCCTCCAGTCATCAGGAATGCGATTAGATACGCTGACGATTAAAACAAGCCCCCAAACAGGGAACAACACCAGCGTCTCACATATCGGATCCAGAGGAATTTCCTTCGCCCTACGCAGCATTACAGGGCGTGGAAAACGAAACGAGAATATGCCTTATGTTAAGACTGTCGTGACCGCAGACCCGAATGCTATGCCGGATTGGGATGGAAGCAGCCAAACTAGTCAATCACGGATTATTAGGGAAACGAGGACTTGGACGGTGGTTGAGGAACGTCTTGAGGATCGTCGACATGCTTATTTTGCAGAGCCGGAAGAATCTGCTTGATATATCTATCATGACCTCTGGACTAGGTTTTGTTTCATTCTTTGTATCTATAGGTGCCGACTCATATCAGACGATAGACGATTATTTTAACCTTATAAAATTCTTCATCACAATGTAAATCATGATGATGTTACTAGCAAGTCTCCGCTCATTGAATCCTGGTGACTAGCTAGGACACTTTCAATACACATATTCGTATCAAAGGATTAGATTTATGATGCTGGCCAAAATGGACGATATTTTGTGATCTGAATTCATAAGTGACACAAAAATGTAGTATAATTTTTCGAAAAAGTTTGATTGAGCCAAAAAGGCCTTCGTAGTACAATCTCGCTTACCAAAGGGTCATTTGATGACACTTCGATGTGGCTTGTTGAAACAAAGAAGCTCTATTGAACTAGCTCGAAAGCCTTCCGAGTGACACTTCAATGTTGAATCATGCCACAGGAGATATTCGGCGGAAATTTCTTCCTAGAAAAGACCCGAGCAAATGATTGACCATATTTCGAGTTTCGATTCCAGGAATTCGCTCATCCAAGATTTTGACTTTCTATTCTTTGTTTGCACGTCCGACGTAGGGAATTGGATTGAACTTGTTCATATCCGACGTCAGTCCAAATAGCGTAAACGAATTTAAACACTGACATCAAGAAACTAATTGATGTAAGCGTAGAGACAGCAAAAACTTCGAAGGTTGAAAGGTATCTTGGGATATGTATATAGACCTGAAGATCTTGCTCCAAACATGCAAACATGGGGTGAACGGTGTAATAGCATAAGGAGTTTCGAGCGCTACTGCGAGTAATCAACGAAACAATCAAGATGTAACCTCAGAATCTCTTTGAATAAAAGTGGACACAAAGAAAGCTGGCTGGAGGTGCATTGACTTATGGATATGGAGACGGAAGAAGGGAAGTCGAAAGACGGAATGGTAGAATGACCATTTGGCAAAATCCTGACTGTATGGTTAAATGTGAACACCAATAACCATCTCCTTGGATATAGTACCCGTAAAGAATTCTTTCAATCTTGGGAGAGGGGCATCTCTATCATGATGTCCAGATTAAACCTTGTGGTGAGGCTTTTTTAACTTGATTCATGGCCTACATACGCGTTCTTTTTCTTTTTCTCCTATCCCATTACTGGATCCTACTCATAGGGCCCGTTAGAAGATGTAGCCTTGGGTATTCCTATGTCAATCACAACAGTATACAATGAGCGCTGAATGTTGAATGTACGAGCTTGGTTCAGGTAGGCGGGGCTCCTGTGTCGCCGCCACAGTGTAACTGTGGCGGCGATTTATTTGGTCTTAAAGAATACGTCGAATAATGAACTAAAGATTGACCTAAATATGCAAGAGCAGACGTTATTAATTGTTCCCCAGAATAAATACGTCCTTTTTCAGACTATACTTTCTTTTCTGCCTACATAACGCAGTGACTGTCAGTTTCCCATTCTTGGACTACTTTTCTCTTGATATTTCAGACTCTTCGGCCTTGATCGTAATTTTAGCCATTCTGCTCGGAACCCCTTTGATAATATTCGCTGCAAGCCTTCAAAACTTGCAACAATGGAGGACCTGAAAATGAGAAGATGGAACCCCCATTCTACGTCAAGAGAAATTGGTACTTCTAGAGCCTCCAAGCACCGAGATGAAACCCAATTGGCTCGTTTGGGKAAGCGCGAGATATTGACAGTAAGTGAACAATATCCTTGATCAACGCAAACAAAGACACTTCCTGATTGAAATTCCTGTACTGAAATAGCGCAACTTCGGGTCTATGGCCGTGCTTGGCTTCAGTACCTCAATTTTAATTACCTGGGAAGCAGAATTGATGTATGTACCGTGCTCTCATCGTTCCTCCGTTCTAAGCTAATATCCAACCACAGAACATTCTTACAACCATTACAAAAGTACGTGAAACACCGAAACTAAGTTTTATCGTTATTGCAAACACAGATATATCATCTGATTTGGTGAACCGTTACTGATATACCTGACTGTGATAGTGGTGGACCCGCAGGCGCGGTATATGGATTCTTGATAGTATGGGCTGGTTTGATAGCAACATTTATTTCCATTTCAGAGATGGTCTCAATGTGAGTTGTGGTTCATGAGATGATATATAATGTCTAATACGTGACATATGATGGCTCCCTGCTAACCCCCTATTTTTAGGGCCCCTACAACTGGTGGACAGTATCATTGGTGCTCCATGCTCGCTGGAAGAAATGTATCAAAGTTTTCAAGTTATGTCACAGGCAAGTAAATACACCTACTTGTAGACTACACTTATATAACCTCCAACAATATGCTGATATCGAATGAATAGGTTGGTTGACCGTTGTCGGCTGGCAGGCTACATTTGCCACGGGTTGCTACTTAAACAGTACAATGATAGAAGGCTTGATCATCTTGACACGTCCTAATTACGTACCACACGCATGGCATGGAACTCTTTTATATTGGGCGGTCGTAGTCTTCTCTGTGACGATCAACGTTGTCGGCGGGTCTCTACTGCCCAAGTTTGAAGGCCTGATTCTGGTTCTACATATCCTTGGCTTCTTTGCTATTCTCATTCCAGTGACTTACATGTCGGATTATAGCACTGCTAAGGATGTATTTGCGACCTGGGTGAATAGTGGTGATTGGCCTACACAGGGTATATCCACGCTTGTTGGCTTGATGGGGGCGGTATTTGCATTTGCTGGTAGTGATGCCGCAGTTCACGTAAGTGTTCAAGGATTCAGTATACCCTTAGAAAGCTTCAATATATTCCAAAATGACCAAGCTTTCTAATGTTGTTATAGATGGCCGAGGAAACAAAGAATGCGCAAAAGGTCATCCCGATCTCAATCCTACTCAGCCTCATCTTAAATGGCGTGATGGGATTTGCCATCCTGATTGCCACTTTGTTCTGCATGGGAAACGTTCAAGCTGCACTACAGTCCAAAACGGGATACCCTTTCATGGAAATATTCTACCAGGCAACCAACTCGATAACTGGTACTTGCATAATGTCCACGATCATAGTCATTATGGGCACCTGTGCGGTAACTGGCGTTTTGGCAACGACTTCTCGGCAATTTTGTAAGTAATCGACCGTGCCGTGATGGAATTTTTTTCTAATTCCAAATTCAGGGGCTTTCTCGCGTGATCGCGGCGTTCCAGGTTGGCGTATTTGGAGTAAAGTTTCAGAGAGAACAAATATACCAGTAAACTCCGTGATACTGACGGCTGTCATTTCCTGCCTTCTGGGGCTACTCCCATTGGGCTCACCAGTAGCTTTCAACGACCTGACATCGATGTCAACATCTGGACTATACCTATCATACATGGTCTGTTGCATATTACTGCTATATCGACGATGCACCGGTGGCATCTTGGAAATGGCCGATTACCGAAGTCGCAACAGCTCCGGGATCCTGCCAGAAGTGGACGAACCTATCATTAACACAGCTGGGGCAATGCTTGTGTGGGGACCATTCCACCTCAAAGGAATTTCGGGAGTTGTGGTAAATGTGATCGCCATCGCATACATGCTTGTCGCCGTATTTTTCAGCTTTTGGCCGCCAACCGCGCAAGTAACGGCGGCCACGATGAATTATAGCGCTGTTGCAACTGCTGGAGTTATGATTCTCACCGTTATATACTACTTTTCGAGAGCTAAGAAGGTATATAAAGGGCCTATTATTGAGTTTTGAGACGACTCTTATGATATTTTTTGCAGCATTACTAATATCATGGTTTCTGATGTGGTGGGCATAACGGAGGTTGAGGATGGCATAAACAGAGCAAAAGACATGTGCAGGTATAGAAATTTGGGGCTTTGATCCACGGCTCGTTATGCTTGGAACAGTTAGAAACTTGACAATAGACTTGATTCATTCCGTTTTCGCTACACAAGCCTAATTTAAGACTAAGAAGTGTCGCAACAACAGAGTGCATTACGGATTGTAGCATTCTTAATCATTTCTTGGATCGGCCTCGATTACGTTAATTCCAATGATATCCTTTGATAAGTAGATCTGGAATGATGATGGAAAGGTGATATGTAAGACCACTTGAAATTGGGATTGTTATGAAGGATAAATCCTAAATCGTCTTGACTTCTGAGAGATGAACATACAAGCCCATGATATCATCCATATCCAACAAACTCTGCCAACCCTGATTCACCTCTTCTATCCAATTGCAAAAGAACAAAATCTAGTAACCGTAAAACTAAGACATTCGCCACAGCTCGAAGGAACGGCGTGTAAAGCCGAATCGAAGGTTCCAGTCGCCACTGCTGGTAGGAGAATGTCAAAGTGGTAGATGATCTATTTCTGCTTTCCACCAGCGTTGTTGGCATTATGAGCGCCGGTGTTGTTGTTGCCTTTGCCACTGCTGGTAGTGGTCCCAGCAGCACGAGCATTGTCATCACGAGCAGCTGCAGATTGCACGCACGCGGCAACGCCTCCTGAGCTCATATCTCAGCTGTTAAAGGCCTGTGGATGTGTTAGGAGCATGCGGAGTAAGGTTACGAGTGAGCCAATGGGAGGCCTTACATTGAGAGGCTGAATGCGAGCAGCATCACTCTTTGACATCTGGTTCGACATATTGAATCAGCTTCGATGATTTGGATTTGTGTTGTTGTGAAGTGAGAGTACGAGGATATTGAAAGTGTAAGATCAAAAGATGATTTGTGTCGAGGGTTGTTGATCGAGAGAAGGAGAGAAACCAGATCAAGGAAGGGAATCGACACTGCTTATACAACTTTTCAATCCCCTCCATGTGCTGAAATCATGTGTTAGCAGAAGGTCTTGGAATGGCTGCTCGGTTATCGTAAAGGCTACCGATATCATAGGCTGCTTCATATCTGGTTTGGAACCTCTAAGGCACTTCTTTGCCTACTAAACTGTTGAGCATTATGATTTCATATTGCTCATTTATTGTGATCAACGAAGATTTGACTCTTGAGTGGTATGGCATCCACGTGGTATGCCGTGTCGACACTGAACAGAATCGCCCCCCAGATCGGAAGACCGACACTTTTATAGTAAGGTAAGTTTTCGCGTATCTTCCATGGGCGTTTGTGTTGCCCTGGATCGATACAAAGAAAACCTTTGGAATGACGTTTATAATGACAATTGAATAGATAGTGAGTAAATAGTAGAATGTAAGAGAAGATTATATAGTTTACTCCTTGTTACTAATGTTGTATCAATCTAATGAAAGCAAAGGTCCTCAGTCTAGACAAATCAAATATTGAGTCGTTGGCAATTCCCGCAGTCAGTGCAAACAATGAAGTTTCTACATTTGCCATCATTTTGCTATGAGATGTTCGAACAAGCTTCTGAGGTAGTACGCTGATTGCTTAGGGTAACGCGTCTTGTCAGGTGCGTCGAAGTCAATGAATGTCACTCCAAATCGATCTGTATACCCGGCAGCCCATTCTGCGAATTGCGTTAGCTGTACGTTAGACTATGAATACTTATAGATGGACTTTGCCCCATAGAAGTCTTATTACTTACCCCAATTATCAGTAAACGTCCAAGCAAAGTACGAACGCACGTCCACGCCATCCTCTTTAACCGCACGGGCAAGCTCTCCTACGTAACCCCTGAAGAAGTCGATTCTGAATTGATCGTCTATAATTTGAGACTTCTCGGTCGTAGGGCGAATGTCATTCTCGCCTTTCGCCGTCGTTCCATTTTCAGTAACATAGATTGACTTGTGGTATCGCGCCCAGATCCAGTTTAGCAATTTCCGAAACCCCCATGGGGAGGTTCGGAGCCAATAAGTATCACTTGCTGGTCCTCTGGGAACTCCTTCTTTATTCTCATCAAATTGGTCAATGTTTCCCTTGTGGTCATTGATATCTGGTTGAGTAGTCTTGTGACGAACGTAGAATGAAGTGTAACTGTTCATTCCGTAGAAATCAGAGCTACCTAAAACCAGCTTTGATTCTGCCTCCGTAAAGCGAGGTAAACGGTCACCTAGCTGCGCTCGCATTGACGCCGGATAGTCTCCAGTTTTATGGACTGGGTCGGCATACCAGGCGATTTCAAATTCTCTTGCACGTTCCGCAGCTTCTTGATCCAATGGATCGCTTGCGTCCCACGGCTCCGACCAATTTCCGTGAAGGGTGATACCAAGCATGCCATTTTGTGTGGGCTTAAACTTTTCTCGATACAATCCAGCAACTTGTCCATGTGATACGAGCTGCGTGTGTCCGACAATGAAAGGCTCTGTCGAGGAATCGCCGAGATCATTTCGATCTCTGAAAGATGATCGTGCCGGTGCATGAACGCCAGCGGCATACCCAGCAAGCGCATAAACGCCAGGTTCATTGTATGTTATCCAATGCTTGACGCGGTCTCCAAATCGCTCAAAACAAACCGTTGCATATCTGACGAAGTCTGGGGTGTAAGCTTCTTGGTTAAGCATGCCACCATATCTGTCTTCCAAAGCCTGTGGAACATCCCAGTGAAACAAAGTCACAAAAGGAGTAATTTCATTGCTCAAAAGTTCATCAATCAGATTCGAATAATACTCGATCCCTTTTTCATTCACTGGATCATCTTTTCCGCCTAGCGGAATTATCCTCGCCCACGACAATGAAAATCGGTAGGCGTTGACTCCGTAAGACTTCATTAGGTTGACGTCTTGCTTATACAGATCATAAGAGCGAACAGCATCATCCGGTGTACTTTTGTCTTTTACTCGACCTGAGTTATGAGCAAACGTATCCCAGATTGTAGGACCTTTTCCGTCTTGGTTCCATGCCCCTTCGACCTGCGTTGCAGCAGTGGCGTAGCCATGGAAAAAGTCGGGGCGCAAGCTACCCTGGAGGTCTTTCAAACCTTCTTCCTCCATGATGATGAAGGTGTTTCCCAAGCTAGTTTCCTTTTGGATGAGTAGCTCACAATGCTTCAATCTCATAAAACTTGGACTATAACTCTGATATAAGTTTGTCACGATTTTGAAAATTGAATTTCACCACTTGTGGCTACTTGCGGGGTAATGTTTAAGAATCTTTTTGCAGACTCTGATTGCTGGAAAAAAAATCTTTGCCTAAATTATGTGACCTGGAATTCAAGTATAGCCTGTATAAATCCGAAATACGTAGTACGTTTGTTTGCTATCATAAGTTGTATCTATGTGATTAGATCTAACTAGACGTTTCGCCTAGATGATCATCGACGAACATATCCTTCTTTAAGGAAGTTTGTGACATACCTACATCAACATTACTTGTAGTGGTATTTTAAGAAACACAAGGTAGATTATCAAATTTGAACTGGTCGAATGTGATGCTCGCCTCGGCCTTCAAACTCGACCGTGAGACCACCATTCGGAAAGCAGATAGTACACGCTCGGTCGGAGATCGATCGAATGATAACATCACCTATTATCTCACTCTTTTTCCATTCAAAATCTAACTCAAAGCCTCCACGAGCACGTACGCCACTAATAGCACCCTCGCTCCAGGATTTAGGGCAAGCGGGTAATAAGCGGATGATACCCTCTTCATGAGACTGGACCAGCATCTCTATGATGCCAGCTCCGGCGCCAAAATTCCCATCAATCTGAAATGGTGGATGATTGTCTAGGAGATTTGGCAATGTGGAATTCTGCAGCAGCAAGCTAATGTGCTTTTCGCACGCATCGGCTTCAGATAAACGAGCGTGAAGATTGATCAGCCAAGCCCGACTCCATCCAGTATGACCACCTCCGTGAGCAGCCCTGCGACGTAGCACAACCGATGCTGCTTTGGCTAGCTCTGGTGTTTGAATCGGATTGATCGAAGAACCGGGATGTAGGCCCCAGAGATGAGACGTATGCCTGTGTCCCGGCTCCACTTCCTCGTAGTCATACATCCATTCCTGAAGTTGGCCGAATGATCCAATTTGCATTGGAGGTAGGCGACTTTTGGTGTCCTTTACTTGTCCTACTAATTCATTCTCCTTTACATCCAGAGTATCGACGGAGGACAGAAATGCTGTAAATACAGCTTCTATGATCTGGATGTCGATCGTGGAGCCCTCACAGAACACTCCTTGGTTCTTCCGACCAGGAGAATAGAATGTATTCTCCGGAGACAGGGACGGATTTGTGACAAGATATTTGCCGTCAGCACTTTCAATCAAGAAGTCTAGCAAAAATTCAACACAGCTTCTTAGAACTGGAAACATGTCGGTCAGGAATTCCTTATCTTGTGTATATTCAAAGTGTTCCCATATATGGAAACACAGCCATGCGCCTCCCAGAGGCCAAAGCGTAGCAGGCATCCACCGATCTTGAGGATCCGTATCCGCCCAAATATCTGTATTGTGATGCGCAGCCCAGCCTCCGCAGTTATACATGCTTTTTGCAGTCTTGACCCCACGTTCGGCCATGCCACGAAGAAGCGCGAATAATGGCTCACTGCATTCTGACAAATTGCACACATCGACAGGCCAATAGTTCATTTGAAGGTTGATATTGATGGTGTATTTACTCCCCCAAGCAGGTGTGAAAGATGGATTCCAAATCCCTTGCAGTGTCGCTGGTAGAGCCTTATATCCATTTCGGCTAGATGAGATTAGTAAGTAACGGCTGTAGTTGAGATATAGACTTATCAGTCCAAGATCTCGAAACTCTCTCAGTCGCACGTCGGTTGGAATCTTCCGAAGCTCATTCGATCGCTCATTCTCACCTAGATGGAGAGACATGCGATTGTATAGCTGACTGTAATCTTGTATATGCCGACTTAATAGTTCGTCCCATGGTCTCTGTAGTGCTTTGTTGCAATCTGTAATCGTGACTTTGTCGATGTCATTACAACGATACTCACTTTGCGCAGCAATTACTAGTAACGTATCCTGGCTGCGTATATGTAGTGTATTATTCAGATGGGCAGTAACAGATCCTTCGCTGTCTATGCATCTTGATGAGAGTACACAACAAGCCCGATTACTATTTTTACCACCAGGTGTTATGTGCATAACCAAGGAATTTCCCTGAACAGTCACATCATCTAGAAATTCATTTGTTTCGTACTCTGGCTCATTGACACGAGTCAGTCGAACCGTGAATTCGATTGGCTCAGATGCCTGAATATGCATAGCCAGAGTAGAGTCTGGATATGATGCGATGATATCTCTTTGAATTTGAATGCCGTCACACTCATACTCCACATGGCAGATACTCTTTTCAATATCTAGTGACCTCTGATAATTCGACATTTGCTTTTGATTATCATCATTGAATTCGATAAACACAGTCCCTAATGGCTCGTAGTGACGCTGACTAGCTGGTGAAGCAAAGAAGCTTTGGCGTGCTAGCTTCTCAGCCTCGGCATGTTTCTCTTTTCGAATCAGGTCTCGGAGTAATGCCAACTCTCCGGCTGAGATTCGTGGAGTACGATTCTGGGGTCCTCCATACCAAATACTGTCTTCGTTCAATGCCAACAATTCTGTGCTAGTCCGCCCATAGATCATAGCTCCCAGTCGCCCATTGCCAACCGGGAGGGCCTCGTTCCAGCACCTGGCTGGCTGCTGGTACCACAGCTTATTCGACATCCGATCGATTGATCCTGGAAAAAGAACACGATATTACTAGTAAGCAACGTGTTATTGATCATGAGTTTTGCCTTTAAGTATATGAGGATGAGTTGTGATTGATGGAAGATTTATCAGATAATCCGTTTATATATAGGCAACACGACCGACACTCCGCGACAGCCATATGGATAAAGTCTTTGTACGAGGGAGCTATCGACATAAACTTCCACTAAAATGGAAGATACCAGCATAGAACAGCATAAAATAAATTGCCTAGACTTTCTCTCCATGTTGGATTTGTTCTCAATATGCGGGGAACCCCAGTCTACTGCAGCATGGAGTTAGCGCTTGATCTTAAAAATTTATCCGAAATGCTTAATTAATATCCTTGTTTTCGAATGACATAGATTTCTTGGTCTGAATCTGATTCAACCAGCTAAGACAGGGATACATTTTCCCCAAAATTATCAAGGGCCTTGGAATACCCCGCATGATAAAATAGGATCATGCAATCAGAAGTTTCAAAACAGCTATCCTTGTGTGTAACATGGCGAGTCAATTTCTAGCATACCTTGCATTAACTGGGATGATACGTATGTACTTAAGGCGAATGAAGTATCCTCAGTGTAGATCTCTTTCTACCCGACCGTCTTTATCGTGCTTCGAGACAAGAAACCAAAGACAATTTGAGATACAGATAAAGGTCATTTGTTCATAACGGGCCCAAAATGGCGGATTCTAATAAATCCGCACGAGCAGTCACAGATGTCGCCGAACCGGAACCATTTGACAAAATCGACGCAGCCCATGTCGAAGAAATAGTTCTTGCTCGCTTGACAGAGGAGGATGTCTGGAAGATATCGCAGGAGGCCTTGAACGTCTGGTCTTGGGCCGGATTTCGACTTTGTTTGATTATGTTTGTCCAGGGATGTAATCAAGCGGGCTATGGAATTGATTGGGGCGTCATTGGCGGTATCAATGCTTTCCCAGCACTTCACAGCTATTTCGGCTTTGGAACCTCCGGCGGTGTTGTCGGAACAATCACAGCGTTGATGTCTGTGGGTAACATTGCCGGAGCGCCTTTTCTTTCACTTGCAGACGTTATCGGGCGACGTGGCATCAACTTTATTGGGAACCTAATAGTCATTGCGGCCGCGGTTTTGCAGGGCTGTGCTCCTAATATTAAGGTGTTGATGGCTGGCCGATTTCTTCTGGGCTTCGGATCAGCCATGATGTCTAGTTCTCAATACATGGGCGAGATAGCGCCTGTTCATCTTCGAGGTCGTTTGGTCGGCATATTTGGCGCATGTTTCCAAGTTGGAAGTCTGGTGATGGGCGGAGTAATGCTCGGTTTGGCGAACATCCCAGGCAATTGGTCATGGCGCGTACCATTTCTGCTTGAAGCATTGTTTCCTCTTATCGTCTGTCTTACAATTTTCTTCCTCACCCCCGAGAGCCCTCGTTACTACGTAATGCGTGGCCAGATCGAGAAGGCAAAGCAAGTTATTGCTAAGTATCATACGACAAGTGGGGACGTGAATGAGCCTATCGTTGGCATCGTCATCAAACAGATGGAAGAGTCATTGGAGAATGAAAGAGCTGGCTTCCGCAACTTCTGGGACTACCGTGTGTTCTTCACAAAGGCTGTTCGTTACCGTCTACTTGTCTTGGTTCTTTACTCCGTCTTTCAGCAGTGGAACGGTGGAGGTATCATTAGCTATTATGTTCGTATGTCCCGTGAAATTTATCCTGATGGCACTACTGACACATCGAAAATTTAGATGGTCCCTGCGTTGGAAACTGTCGGTATCGATGGAAAAATGCCTCAACTTGGCATCTCACTTGGAACAACAGCGACATATTTTGTCTTTACGGCAGTGGGATCATTTTTGGTGGACAAAATACGCCGACGAACGCTGATATTCTCGGGACTGATAAGTATCATCATCTTTCAAACTGCTGCAACAATCACATCCTGGCGGTACTCTTTGGTACCCAGCCATGCAGCAGCTGGATTGACTATCTTTTGGATCTTCATGTTCCAGACGTTCTCCTCTTTGCTTATTGCCACAATGCACAACCTGTATCCCGTCGAGATTCTATCCCTTGCCCTGCGCGCCAAAGGAATGGGCTTGTATGGCCTAATTCAAGGCGCAGCTGGAGCAGTGCAAACATATGGTATCGGCGTTGGGATCAATAAGCTTGGCTATAAGATTTGGGTGGTCTACATTGTTTACAATTGTGTGCAACTGGGACTATCATACCTCATATTCCCCGAGACATTCGGACTCTCGCTGGAAGAGATTGATGCCGTTTTTGAGACTAAAGGCGTTCCGCCGGTCAAGATGTCCTTGGAGATCCAGAAAGCCAAGAAGCTTCGAGAGCGAATGGGCCGGAGTGAGGTTATTTAGGACCGGATATGAAAGTTCTGACGGACGATGATCATGAATGATATACGACGAGAACAGGTGGAAGGTGCCTTAGGGCTAGGGCTAGGGCTGTGTGTTGATCACGTGGGAAGGCGGTGGCAGGACAGGGGTTTCAAGTACTTATGTATGACAGAGCTAGCGCCCGGAGACCATCCACTCATTCCAAGACATTTTCTCCTGTTCTTCTTACCTAATTCCTTGTTGCAGCACAGCCTCATTTGAGTGTTACAGGTCGTTCAATGTCAGTTGTTCTGGAACATTTACGAAACAGTTCTTCGTCGGAACAGAGTGTCGATCGCAGGCAGTGCTACGTACCAGTGGGTATTCCATTAGCGAACAAGAGATGAGGTATGAAATCATCACAACCGTGGAAAACTTGGAAGGTGAAAGTATATAAGAAAAGCGACCGCAATTTCTAATTCGCAATACGAGTATCTTTATTCAAACATCTCTTCTGCATCCATTTTAATCGTTACATCTTCTTTATTTATACTTTCCGCAGAACTCCGGACAGTCTTGCATAGTCAGAACAGTCATGATGCGGTTTCCCACTCTTTTAGCTGTATTAATGGCGGCCACCGCGCAAGGCCAAAGCACTTCAGAGCAGTCAATGACCACGAGCGCAGTTTCATCAGGCTCGACTTCTAGCGGCACTCATATCCCAATTTTCGGCGTCGGGACCATCACAATTCCAGTCTCTGGTGTGGCTGGCAGCATCGTTGGAGTCGACTCAACTGCCACCACGATTGCGCTGAACTGCTTGAATAACACAAGTTGTGTTATTGGAACCAAACCAGTTACCTTGACCCAAGGCCCATCGACATTGATCGCCGATATCGTCACTCAAACTGATATAGAAGGAAACAGCGGGACAATTACAGCCGCCGTGGCCTGCAATATTATTTCTAGTACGMAAGCCGCGACTTGCACTGCGACGGGTACGGTCAGCTTCGGAGCCCAAGGCCAAAGTTCCGCCATTACGATCACCACCACCACGACCATACCTTCTAGCCGAATTACCTATGAACAACTCTTGATTACGGGCGGTGTTGAGAAGCTGAACAATCTTTCAGCTACTCATACGTCGAGCGGCGCCGCTGGCCTTGTCGCTGCACCACTTCCAACGGGCAATATGGCAATTGGCGTTGGTAGTATGGCTGCAGCGGCTGTTGTTGCTGTTGCTGGAATGCTTTAAATTCATTCCCATACCTTGCAAACCACGGTTGTGCCTCTTAAAAATAAACCCAGAACTTGACAGATACCTTTTGAACTTCAAATAAGGACATTCGCCTAGTTGAAAGTCTTGAAGAATCCTTGGATGACAATGTATGACCGTAAATGATTGCATGTGATTAGACTTCATTTATTTATTCAACTTTCAGCTTAGAATAGACAATATAGACGGGGGAAAAACAATCAAACTGCTCACAATTGATTCCTGAATCGCAATTGCAATCATGCCGCGACCGGTAGGCACTGATCTCACGTAGCTTTGGAAGCCCTCAAATGAAATATGTACTTGTCAAGCGCTGTCTACGGCAATTTATGAATTGAATTGTACTACTAGGTACATAGGCCTTTATTAGGGGGAACAGGCAAAGAAAAAATCAATTTTTCGAAGTGGGCTGATTGCAAGTTTGGATTGAAGGATACGTACGCGACATACTCAGTACAGATAGATAAATGAACCATGTAGTATACTAAAATCTATTTACAAAACTCTTTCGCAATGCTTGTCAACACTTGCGTTGTTTGTTCCAGGGATTCAATATTAGCAAATTCTTCCATGCTGTGAAGACCTTCACCGTGAGGTCCCAAGAGGAGAACAGGGATGCCAACATCCCCAATCAGGGCACAATCAGTCCAATAATTCTCTCTAGTGAGTGCTGGCTTTTTTCCCACGACCGATTCCACAGTCTGTTGGACAAGAGCCATGAAAGGATGATCGAGCGATATCTCATAAGATGAACGATCAAAAGTAGCTCTTACATCATACTTAAAACCCGTGTCTTCCGAAGCAATGCCGGAGAGCAGCTCATGAATCTCGTGTTTGACGCTATCGGGAGTTTCTCCTTTTAACGTCCGGCGCTCCACAGTCACTGTACAGCAGTCCGGGTACGACGATGCCTCCTCACCGCCCTTAATGATGGAGGCGTGAACGCTAGGACGAAAGCCAGTACCGTCGTCCTTCTGAATTTTTTTGGCATACTTATCTAGCGCTACCAAAAAGTATCCTGCCTTCGTGATAGCATCCACACCGAGATCGTAGCGCGAACCATGAGCAGCAACACCATAGATGTCAACTTCAAGCCAGACAAAGCCTTTATGGCCATAGACAATGTCTAGATTAGTCGGCTCATTCACAATAGCTGCATCGGCTCTCCAGCCAGCCGCTAAAACATCTTCTGTGCCAATGCTAGTCGCCTCTTCATCAGCAACACCCGTGAAGATAACGTCTCCACGGAGACCAAGCGTCTTTGCGTTAGCCAGTGTCATCAAAGCAGCAGCAACGCCCCCTTTCATATCTCCTGATCCACGTCCGTATAGCTTCCCATCCTTGATCTCACCACTCAAAGGATCGCCCTTGTAGCTGAGGCAGGTGACTGTATCAATGTGTCCATTCAGCATGAGGCTCTTGCCTCCGCCAGAACCACGGACAATACCAATAATGGACGGTCTGTCCTTTTTTGGCTCAATCCAGTGAGTCTCTATTCCGCGGTGCTCCAGCCAGGCCTTGATGTAGCGAGCAATCTCGGTCTCTCCTGGTCCCGGGATTGATCCCAACAAAGGATTAGCAGAATCGATCTGGACTAGAGCTTGCGTCAACGACAATGGATCAGATGGAAAAACGCTTTTAGGGACATTGTAATCTCTGTTGCCTTCTGTGCATAAGAGAACCACCACCGATTCTCCATTTAGTCCTAGTTGCTTTCTGTCTGCAGCAGTCAACCGGTGTAGTGCAGCAAGAGAAGCGGAACCGCATGGACCAGCATCAACGCCTAAGGCTTGTAATTCCAGTGAAGCCGTATGAGCCTCATAGTCTGAGATAGTAAGTGTGGCGTCAATTCCTGATTTGAGCATTGGCCAAGCGAGTGTAGACACGGTTCCGCATTCCAGGCCAGACATGATGGTAGGAGATGTGTGAATGTGGACAATTTTGCCTTGCTGGGTGCTATGATAGAAGCAAGCTGCGGTATCGGGTTCGACAGCCAAGATTGTCGTTGATGCGGCGGCTGTCTTAAAGTGTGATACAACGGATTGGGCAAGGCTCCCTACTCCCACTGGTGTGATCACAAGGTCAGGCTCAACATTCTCTGGCAATTGCTCATCAATCTCACGCATCATTGTCAGGTAGCCTTCAATAATCCACTATGATAGAGGACGATTAGCTTCTTAGAAGTCCATATCATGGTGTGAGGGAAGGATCTTTATGCGGAACAACTGACCTGCGGGATTTCGTCGTACCCATCAAAAGCAAAATCCTGAACCAGAATCCCTCCAGCATCCTGAGCAGCACGATGGGCAATTTTAACCGTTTCGTCGTAGTCTTCGGTAGAAATAATGACCTTCGCTCCTTCCGCCTCAATCTTCTCGACGGCTGAGGCATGAATACTCATTGGAACATGAACCTCGACTGGAACGCCGAGAATAGAGGCAATACGAGCCACGGCGCGGCCATGATTTCCATCGGTGGCTGTGAAAAGGGTAGGTGGATGGGTGCGCAAGGCTTCCCTGAGAGCCTCAATGCCAGCATCCATGGGGAGACTAACCTCGCGCGCAAGGGCACGGTATGCTCCCCATGAAGCCCCGAGGATCTTGAAAGCTGGCAGTCCGTATCTAGTACTCTCGTCTTTCAGATAGATAGACTTCAAGCCCAGCTCCTTGGCGAGTGCACCCAAGGATAGCAGCTTCGTTGGCTGTGCACCCGGCAGTTGTTCGTGGAATGTTTTGATCACGTCGCGCCCTTGGGTGGCGGGAGCCACCCATGATTTTGCGGCCGGGTTGAAGAGAACTTGGTTTCTCATGATCAATTTTATGGCTAAAAAAGACCCGAGCCTTGATGGTCTTACCTTGTATGCAAGATAAGTTCAGAATTTCCATTTCGCAGCTATGGTTCTTATTTTTCACCGATGCTCTTCCGCGGATGCGCCCTCCGAGAACATTGAAAACCCCAACTTCAGACCTAAGGGCCACGGCAGCCAACCATCAAACAAAATTTGAACCGAATTCTAATAAAATTGCGAAAATGAAATTTAATTACCATTTTCTGCTAGAAATAATGTCTGAAGCAACCCCAACACAATAGTTGACGCGGTTTAAGACACAACAATGCCTCTCTGAAAGAAGTGGCTAGATGACTCCCAAAGCTGAAAATTTCATAATTACAGCCGATGGACGTTTCGTAAAAACAATTTCTAGCCTGGAATGCGAATCCGATCTACGAAGAGTCAAATCTTTCATGTCTACTTTTGAGAAAGAGCTACATGATTTACGACTCGTGATAGTCGTAAGTACGCTAGGTACGGATTTCACGTGCCTCCTGGGGAACGGCCACTCTCCAGACTAATGTCAGTGCAAGTATGTTGACTCGTTGAAATAGAAAGAAGGCTAAGGACACAACGTTTTAAGATAGGGATACTAATCTATACATCAAAGGATAAGTTGTCTTTCTCCATAAACCGTCAATCTAGATCGCTTATTTAAGGTAGTCAATCAGGTTTTTAGAGCTCGAGCCAAAACCCAGGATGCATTCAATACCCACATGTGCAATCGAATTGAAAGTTTCTATACCTCAAACAGCCGTGCATTTCCCGTAATGGTAACATTGCCTCCTTGTCCGGATCTTCCTTGACAAGTCCATTTTCCAGGAAAAGGAGGGACAATAGTAGCCTTTGTTCCCTGAGGTGCCTTGATATCCATAATAATCTTTCCGTTTGAGCCGTAACCCCAGTTAGCGTAGATAAGACCATGAGGTGTCGGTACTCGTCCTTGGACCCATTCAACGTTGAAGCTTGGCAATGGCGCAAATACGAATTGACTGTATCCTACAGCGCTGGGTCGGATACCCAGAGCATACTCTGTCAAAAAAGCAGTGGAATATCCTCCCCAATAATGACTCTGTCCAGTGAATAAATCCAAGCCAGGATACGACCCGTTGGGACTCTGTGATATTCAATCATAAGCAAACACATCATACACTGGACAATAAAAATGACAAAACTTACCACATATTCCCAGAGTGCTCCCGTAAAGTTGACATCTCTGCGCACCATGGGGCTCCATGTATCATCCAAAAGGCCTTGGGCAAGAGCCGTTTCGTTAGCCATTGCCAAACCCTCCAAAAGAAAGCTCATATAGTAGGGGTTGACGACAGCTGGTGTGCCCACAAAACGTGTACCATTCGAATAACCTGCTGGTAATTTCAGGGCATCTAATTTGCCGAGGAACTGTTTACGGCGCGCTGCTGTTCCAATTTCACCCAACAAGACTTGCGCTATATCCATGGCATCATAGCCACTGGTGTCTAGCGAGCCAGAGTAATAACCACCAGTAGAGTTCCACAGAAGCTGATCAATTGCTTGTCGTGATAATTGGGCTTGGGTACGGTACTTATCAGCAGCAAAACTATCATTGAGATGTTCGGCCATTTCAGCCATCTTTTCGAGGCCGAGAATCAAAGATACAGTATTACCTGGGCCCAATGCCTGGCCCTTCTCTCCTGACAAAGGGAGCCCGTTTGCACCATTAGGTGCGCCATATAGTTGGGTTCCGTCATCTAGTGTTCTAGTAACAGCATAGCTCAGAGTTGCTGTCATAGTATTCCAGTTATTGCGAAGAAAAGTGTCGTTTCCAGATCTGTGGTCTTTTAGCAGGCTAAATCAAGAACAAGCCAGGTTGCAGCCAACAACTCACCTGAACCAATAGTTGTATATGGTCATAAGAACATCAAATTCATAATCCGCTACAAGAGGATCAACATTAATAGTCCGGATTAGGGTGCCCACAGTATCAAGGGGGCTGAAGAGCGTATTAGCCGGAATTTGGCCTGAAGTAGCTTGCCTACTCAAAGTTTGCTGTGTTGGACCCCATACACATCTTCCATCTGCTGTCGAGACTAAAGTCGCGCGCGATGATATTAGTCGATCGCCCATCCAAGAGAAACGATCACGTTTTCCAGAGTCCGACTGAACATAATCGGTGTTGGTTTGCACTCCGTACTCAATTAAAGCGTCTGCAGATGTCATCGGTTGTGTGTAGAGAACTTCACCATTGTTACTGGTAACGGTAACGTTGCGAATATACGTTGCCTGGTCCTGCCATGGTCCAAAGGCAAAGCCTTTATTGGCTCCTCCAGGGATATACGGATTTGGATCCCCAATGCCATAGGAACTAATGTTGAAGTGTGCTATCTCTTCATGGTTCAAGAAGACTGTGTATGTATCGTCGCCGTGCGAAACTGTTTCGATTTTATGCCACACCTTTTCTGTAACGTTCTGTCAGGTATAGATTAGTATCAAAATCACGAAAAGTATAAAGCAGAGTTGAAAGTTACCTACAACTTTCAAGGGAAATTTGTCAAGAACATAACCCGGTAAACTGGTCTGATTCTGCAGAGACCAGCCGCGACCCAGTACAAGGGTATTTGGGGGGGCTAGTGACCGGTCAATGTTCGCGAAAGATCCGTCAGGATATTCACTAGTGAGAACAACTATGAGAAACAATGTCAGCGAAGAGGATAATAACAATTATGAAATTGTGCATACATATCGGTCCGGTGGCCTGGATTGCATCGATCTCCGTGTCCACACGCCATCCAGTACCGCCATAGTCTATCATAGCCTCAAAAGTCAATGTGTAATTGCTCAGGTTAACTATCTTAGCCGTAGATGCCGGCTTTTGTCCGCGGATATATGCTCCATTTTCGGTGATATCCCATGTTGCAGTTTGTGTCCCAGGAGCGAAGCACGTCATCTGATTGGTCCGCGGTCCAAGTGCCCAGATATCTGTGTACATGGAATTGCTAGAAGCAAAGTATCCATCCTGGGCAGCAACCTAGCAGATAGAATTAGTCAATGTTATGCACTAAACTGCAATTTACGCCTTACCGGAGTGGTGTCTATGCTTGAAATGAAAGCAGGGTTTCCGAGTGTCAGCCCGGAGCCTTTGACCAGCTTGACAGACTGCCAGCGCTGTGAGCCCTGAATAAAATATCCTGTAAAATTTCCAGGTTCAGTGATGTTAAAGGTCTCCACTCGGAAAGTAGCTGCCAATGCGTTTGCGAACGCAAATGGTCCATCTCCTTGGGGATTTTCCAAGCCACTGAATTGACGTTAGTGAGTATTCCATTCGTGACATGAATTTGTGGAAAGAATTCAAGCTCACTTATACGCTTCGCTGTATTTAACTTCAATTTGAGCATATTCTTCCAGGGCTAGAACCTCAAATGTTGCCTTTCCCGCCACGGCCACTCCATAATCGACTGGTCCGGAACCACTAGTCAGCAGGATTCATCATTCAATTGCTTGGTAGTCATATAACTGACTTGTAAAAATATCACCGACAGCATTGAATGTTAGTCGGGAAGATGTAATGTTTGTTGTATTGCTTGTTAATCCTGAACTGATTGATACTGGCTCAAAACAAGCTTTCCCATTTGTTGCCGAATATGGCTCTGGACTGGGCAATGGAGGCCAGGGAACCCCTGATGCAGACGGAGAAGCGGCATCAACGATGCCGATTAAGGCAATAAAAAGGCCTGAAAATAGGGTATCAAACATTGCTACCCTTAGCAAAAGCCCCAATTCCCTTGCAGAATAGGACTACGACTCTACATGACAATGAAGGGCTAGACAAACGGAAATACATCCCTATCTATAAGCTTATGAAAAGCTTTGGTCGACTCACGGTCCCCACGCCATGTCCCATTAAAGACTCAGGAATGATCGGAAACATGTGGAGGAAAAGTATAAGAATCGGGTCGTGGAGGAATCCGGGGTATCGGCTCGTCGGGAAATTTATGTGGAGGTAGCTGCTGGAGGTAAGATTTAAGCTTAACGCGAACCTTATTGTGTGGTTTAAAGTGTCTCGTCACAGAAAGACCGGATCATTACACACACAAATCACCCATGAAATACCAGAGATCTACTAAAAGCAATCACCACAATAGCGAATGCTTCAAAATATTATTCAAAAGTCGTTTTATTTTGCTAGAAAACTCCCGACAGACTGGAATACGGAATCATTTACAACAAATAACCAAACCGAGAATAAATGACTGAATTTCATGGTTAGAAGTCTATACTTCGTGATTTTTGTGATACGGATATTACTTGTTGGACCTGGCGATGATCTCGGGTACCCTTATCGGGACCGCTTGAACGACAAAGGTTCTGCGAATGACATCGGTATAAAGAAACCCGAGGTGCTTCATATTTCGTCAAGTCGAGGCTCGACCATTACGACATTACGTGCTTCCCCGCAGGTGAAATTCATACATTGATCTGGAAGCCGTGTGGACGAGCCTTAATTACATCGGCATCCTTGCAACGGTGCGTTGAATAAGGTTTGGCAATGAACCTGGATATTTCACTAAAGTCCAACTGACGATGCAGCATGATTGGCCTCAGCAATAATTTGCTAGGTTGCCATAAAAAAATCTAAAGATCCTCGTTCTTGATTTCGTCGAGGATCTGCATCCATTACACGCTCCAAATTACCCTCGGCTGAAGGTAGAGAATAGCTATCCTCCCCAGAAATAACAACTCAAGTATGCCTACCACACCTCACTCATACCAGGCCGTGTCCGTCTCTGTTGGAACGGAATGGACATCCAGAGAAGAGAACCAAGCGAATCCAGGCTCTCACACCAGGCATAAGCATCTGGTACGAGATCAAATCTTGGATCCGTCTCCAACAGTGTTTTTAAAGAACCACCTTCAGTTAAATCCATCAAATCTCCTATCGTCAAATTCTTATTTGCTTTACGCTGGGACAAGTACTTTTCATACTCATTTCGCCAGGCGAAATTTGTATCTGCTTCCCATAAATCTCTAGATGCTGGAAGTGGAATGTTGTCGAACCCGGCACCGCATATAGGGCGATTTTTTACTCTTTGTTGCTCCAGAAGACCCTCTAGGAGGAGATCGATTATTAATAGTATAACAATTGTCCTAGGGTTATAACGAAAGTTAGTAAGCTTGAAAATATAATCATTTGGAATGGGAAAGGCATCGATCCAACCTCCTCACGCTCTCTTCATGAACCCACTGCTTGCGCAGGGGTATCTCATATATATTATCGATGCTTATTGGATTCCGCCTCGAAACACTCATGGATATACTCTAGCTTGTAATTAATGATAGACGTCAAGGCTGCCCAGCAACTCGGGGACTCACAATGACAGTGTCCAAAAGCGAGGAGGCTTCATTGGTCTCACTAGACTCCGCATCCAAGGCCTGGAGAAGACTATATATTGTCACTGCTTGCAAAGCGGCGAGTTGCTGATATTTGTCATAAGTTTCATGCTGGATGGTGCCAAAAATTAGTTAAGTGTGTATAAACCCCTTCGATTTTGGTAGCTCTTACAACACGATGCAACCTATCCTTTTCAGCATAGATTGTTTTCCATACAAAGTCGGCATTTTGTGGCGTCCGGCAATAAAACATCTGTACTAATCCAGCACATATTGCCAAGTCTTTTGGAAGGCACTGATGCTTTCTGCTTTTCACACAGTCAAATATCATTTCTTCGTGTAATTGACATGGTGGACAGATAAATGGTGGAAGACGATCTCCTTGAATCATCATCTTGGTGTAACCGGTTAGCTGCCCTAAAACAATGCTACTCGATAAACAATGTCTGATTACATTTCGCCGTTGGAAGGTTCCCCGACGTGGGGGCAGCTGAACAGGTATTGTTTGAGGGTGAAGAAATGCATGGTTCTGCGGTATTGATTTTTCCAAAGACCACTGTCCGGAGTCATCTAAATCACTGGTCATCATTTCAAGAATTTCGGCACCACTTTCTACTGACTCAACTTCAGGATATTCTTGTGTGCTAGTGCGTGAGGAATAAGCTGATGGCCCATTTGTTGCGCCGAGTAGAGAGTCCAGATTCGGAGTGCCGAAGGACTGCTCGGTATTAGCATTTATTGAGGTAAAGTCCAGCTGCAATTCATCTAAAGAGATAATGTTATCATGAAATTGATGATTCATGAACGTAGAAGTCGATAGACTTGATGCATCGTTGGAGATCTCGGACTGGACTGCATCCGTTAACTCCTCACGGATTCTTGCTGGCGTCGAAGGTGTTCGGGCTACCCTGGAGGTCGCTGAATTTTGATAAGGGACTCCTGTGCCGATTCTCCAGTCGTACACGCAGCTTGCACCTCGCTCGGAGCAGCGAGAACAGCTCGGATTCGCCTGATTGCATCTCAACTTAGACTGCCTGCATCTCACGCAGGACTTTTTCCTTGAGAGTGGCATTGCCGATAATGCTTGTCAAGAAATTTCAGTTTCGGTTCAAGCAATGATCCGGTCTGACTCACAATTCTTATTGCTATCGCGATGATAAATCCGATTTGAAGCCCTCGGAATTCAGGTGGGGCGGAGAGACTCAGAATGATCGAAGAAGATTCTCAGCGGCGTGTAATGATGAGTAATTGTATCTACGTTTCTGCAAGACCTTCACAGGAATTTAACGTATTGGCTAATTTTCCTCGCTAGATGACACATTTGACAATCTTGAGTTGGATTGTGTGATTCTTGTCCTTTTTCTACGGACGAAATTCTCGGAGTTCAGGTGGGCCCAGCCTAAAGCAGTCTAGATCGAGATTTCAATGTGAAGTATGAACCTTAGGATTTCACGCCTTGAACAATGTGAACGAAGAAATTTGAAGCTGAAACCTCGAAAGAGGCTCTTATCATTGCTCTAATTAGATCTTATAACACCAGTTTCAAGTAAATGACTTCACAGAGACTTAATGAATGAATAACCCTCGCCTTTGGGTTCGCGTTGCCTTGGCCCATACCTGATATCCTAGGACTTCGGAATTCCGCGGTCTCAAGATTCACTGGGGTAGATGGAAAATTGATTGATCGGATTTTTGTTATATAAAGTTCTAAAAATTCGCAAAATAACACGTTCCAAGACAAGGTTCCAGATCAATCATCAAAACTTCATCTTAAAACTCTATTGGAATTTAATTTACAATTCATTTCTATACCACAAGAACAACCTCGATATGGCTCCTATTCGAGTTGGATTGGTTGGTTTGACCACTGTCACTGTCAATCCCTCTGGTGAAGGCTATACACCCGGAAGTTGGGGTCTCGCTCATCTTGCATGTCTTGCTGGTTCTCCACACTACGAAATCGTTGCCCTATGCAACTCTACGGTCGAAAAGGCGCAGAAGTCAATAGAGCACAACAAACTTGACCCTGCAACTAAAGCATATGGCTCAGTAGATGAAATGGCCCAGGATCCGGATGTGGACCTCGTCGTCGTTTCTGTCCACGTTGACAAGCACTATGCTCTCGCGAAATCTGCTCTCAAGAATAAAAAGAATGTCTACGTGGAGTTTCCCCTGACAAAATCCTACAAGGAGGCAGAGGATCTAGCCGAGCTTGCCAAACAAGCAGGCGTTAAGACTGTGATTGGAGCTCAAGCTCGTGCCAATCTTGCACTCAAGAAAATCAAGGAGTTGGTCAAGTCCAAAGCCATTGGAGACGTTCTTAGCACCAGCTGGACGGGCTTTATGGGCATTTCGACATGGTCAGGTCTGCCAGAAAGTTTAAAAGACTTTGCAGACCTAGAGGGGGGACCAGGTCGGATAAACATTGGCCTAGGACATGGTACGTACTCGAATATTTGAAATAATAGGCATGCATTTTGAATTTGAACTAATTAATTTCAAGGGTTGGACCCCTTCTTGGATACACTTGGCGAGTTCAAAGATGTCCAAGCCACTTTCAAAACCTATCAAAAGACCGTCCCATTGTTTGATGCTACTGGGACCGTCGTTGATCCCGCGTACAAAGTCACTGCGCCTGAATTCATTTTCGTCCAGGGTGTGTTAGAAAGTGGAGCCGTAGCATCAATCAATGTGCGCAGTATCCCAGCTTCTGCCGACGAGGCCGGGTTCAGATGGATCATTAGTGGCTCAGAAGGCGAGATCGTATTCTCCAGCCCAGCTGGCGGTTATGTCCAAGGTCCTATGCCAGATGCCAAGGTACTTCTCAAAAAGTGGAATGGTGAGACGGAAGAGGTCAATTGGAAGTACAATGAGCCGGCTCATGTCACTGGTGTTTTCGACTTTGCCATCAACACAGCCCGGCTATATGAGGCATTTGCAACTGGTGACGAGGACGGTTATGCTTCGATTGAGGCCGCACGGAAAGTTCACCACCTCATTGATCGGGTCAAGAAGGTCGCCATATGGGCACCTTAATCTAGAAAATCTTGCATAATTGAGGAGAAGTTTTATGAATCACGCTCCGAATGAGTCAAGTCCTCATAGTGCATAAATATGCCTCGTTGCTCTTTAACCCGAAAGTTAGATGGAATATCGTCGATTTTTACTTAATGCTTGCCTGTTATTTTGGAATCCAGAGGCTCCTCTCTGATAGAAAATTAAATATTAATGAGTAAGTACTGAGTATATCTAATCGATTTCACGTAATTTTAGCAAGGATACATGCTACGTCAGGGATTCCATCAACGTGGACCCCGCAAATGCGTGCGATTAGGGCTATGAAGCGGAGAAATGACGAGAGCTCGGAAGGGATAGAGGCCTTTTACCCGAGATTAATTCGGTGTTCCCATATTAATGAACCGATAAATATTCCTCCAATTGTTGGCAGCCGATCTGCATATGAAATAAGCTTTTTGTTCCAAGGTTCTTCTATTTAAATATCTAGCTTGCAGTCTCGCTGCAGAGGTTTTCACTCTCCAAAACACGCTCGTATTACTCATAAGAATGTTATGAGTAGTTACACCATGGCGCGACTGTTGACAAAAATTTTAGTCTACTTTCTCCTCTTCGCATCTCCCCTTTTGGCGAATCAATGGCCACTGCACAATGACAGCTTGAACGATGTCGTGCAATGGGATCATTACAGCTTCGAGCTAAACGGGCAACGACTCTTTGTTTTTGCGGGAGAATGGCACTATTGGCGCATTCCTGTTCCAGAGCTCTGGATCGATATTCTCGAGAAGATAAAGGCTGCTGGCTTTACCGCTTTTGCTATGTATGTAAATTGGGCTTATCATGCTCCAAACAATCATACGGTGGACTTTTCGACTGGCGCTCACGACATCACCCCAATCCTTGAAATGGCTAAAGAAGTAGGACTATATGTCCTCTTACGTCCTGGGCCTTATATCAATGCCGAGACCAATGCTGGCGGATTTCCTCTTTGGGTTACAACTGGCGAATATGGCTCTCTCCGAAACAATGATAGCCGATATACGGCAGCTTGGGAACCGTACTTCACGAAGATTTCTGAAATCACCAGTAAATATCAGATTTCGAGCGGGGGAAACGTTATAACATACCAGATTGAAAACGAGTTCGGCGATCAATGGACTGGTTCACCGTCTCTGAGAGTTGAATACGAGCCGGCAGCTAAGTATATGGAGCTTCTAGAGGCAAATGCCCGTCAGAATGGGGTAGATATACCTCTCATCGCTAATGAGCCGAATGTACGGGCCATTTCGTGGGGAAAAGATTGGTCAAATAGTTCGGCGAATGTCGATGTTGTCGGTCTGGATTCTTATCCATCGGTTCGTTTTTGCTTCTCAGACCATGCTTTACATTCGCTAACTTGTGACAGTGCTGGTCGTGTGATCTGAGTGTCTGTACTGGAACTAATGGCGAATATATTGCCTATGAAGTAGTAGACTATTACGACTATTTCCAGGAGACACAGCCGACAATGCCATCTTTCCTTGCAGAATTCCAAGGAGGTTCGTACAACCCGTGGGGAGGACCTGCCGGCGGCTGCCCTGGAGACATCGGGCCCGATTTTGCCAATCTTTTCTATCGATGGAACATTGGTCAGCGAGTTACAGCAATCAACTTGTACATGATCTTCGGAGGGACCAATTGGGGAGCAATTGCTACCCCAGTGGTAGCTACAAGTTATGACTACTCATCGCCAATTTCAGAGAACCGGACCATTGGCGCGAAATATTATGAGACAAAATTGTTGACAATGTTTACTCGCGCAGCAAAAGATCTCACGGTCACCGATCTGGTCGGGAACGGAACACAGTATTCCACCAACTCAGCTGTTCAGGCATACGTGATTAAAAATCCAAACACTAATGGTACATTCTATGTCACGCTTCATACCAACTCTTCCTCATCCACGGACGAAACTTTCCAACTGCGGGTCCAAACCTCCTTCGGAGCGCTCTCAGTACCCAGATATGGAAATTCAATCCAGTTAAACGGGCATCAGTCCAAAATTATCGTGACAGATTTCCAATTCGGTTCCCACAAGTTACTCTACTCCACTGCTGAGGTCCTGACTTATGCTGTTTTGGATGGTATTCCGACTCTTGCCCTTTGGGTACCGACTGGTGAATCTGGAGAATTCTCAGTACTGGGTGGCAAGTGGGCGTCGGTGCAGCGGTGCGAAGGATGTTCTGGGGTAGGGTTTTATCCTGGGCAGGATTCCAGCAACCAAACCGGTAGCGAACTCACTGTCTCCTTCACACAAGGCCAAGGCATGAGCGTCATTGAATTGGATACAGGTGTTCGAGTTTTGCTACTTGATCGAGAGTCTGCATACTACTTTTGGGCACCGGCTCTGAACACGGATCCGTCTGTCCCAGCAGATCAAAGTGGTAAGTATTATGCTATTCTTCTGTCGAACACATATTTACCGTAAAGTAGTCCTTATCCAGGGTCCGCATCTCGTCCGTAGTGCAAAGATTGACGGTTCGACGATTCACCTGAAGGGTGACTCAGCCCAGGCGAGCCCCATTGAAGTTTTTGCATCAAAGCAGGTACAGGTTATTTTTTGGAACGATAAGGAGCTCAAAACATCCAAAACTTCATATGGCAGTCTTCAAGCTTCACTGCCGCAGCCGCCCACGATCAAGCTTCCATCCCTTGGACCTTGGAAATACAACGATAGTCTGCCAGAGAAGGCTCAAGACTATAAGGATACTAGTGCGGCCTGGATATGTAAGCTCTCACAATCTGAGAACCATGACACATTCAAATTACTAACAATTTAGCCGCCGATCATTTGAATACGTCGAATCCTACTGTTCCCACCACTTATCCAGTGCTATATGCTGATGAATACGGTGACCCTCCTGAATGTGAAAGGTTGTTAAAGAAATTTGATCTTCTAACGCACTTTCTGACAGGTTTCCACAATTCAATCCGTATATGGCGTGGCTACTTTACTGGAAATGCTACAGGTGTTATTTTGAGCGTACAAGGAGGAGATGCTTTGTCAGTATAGTACACTCGAGCCGTGTATTCCTCTTATCTAAGTTGCTAATTCCATTTGTCTTCTTTTCAGTGGTTTCTCTGTTTGGCTCAACGGCCAATTCTTGGACTCATACCTTGGAGACGCGTCTGTTGAACAGAGCAATCTCACACTTCCATTTGATGTTAGCCACATCAGCACATCTTCAGAAAACGTTCTCGTCGTCGTACACGATGATACCGGACATGACGAGACCACAGGAGCTCTTAACCCACGCGGTATCCTTCAAGCCACATTAGTGTCGGAGAACGGCTCTGTCAAATTCAGTCAATGGCGAGTTGCTGGTACCGCAGGTGGAGAGACCAACATAGATTCGACGCGTGGCCCGTACAATGAAGGTGGTTTATACGCTGAGCGAATGGGATGGCATCTTCCCGGCTTCAAGGACGATTCATGGTCCGGTACAGGATCTCAGCTCAACTTTACTGCGGCTGATATCAAATTCTACCGCACAAATGCACCTCTGAAGATCCCCGAGGGCGCAGATGTCTCAATATCTTTTGAGCTTTCTGCTTGCGGGACCACTGATGCATTCCGCGCGCAGCTTTTCGTGAACGGTTATCAAATGGGTCGGTTCAATCCATACATTGGTAATCAGATTGAGTTCCCTGTTCCTCCTGGTATTCTTGACTATACAGGTGATAATACCATCGGACTCTCTCTCTGGGCACAAACAGAGAGTGGAGCCTGCGCTAGTGTTGACTGGAAAATCAACTACGTTCTGGAGAGCTCTTTGGATGTCACCTTTGATGCCGAGTATCTGCGACCAGGGTGGACTAGTGAAAGGCTACAATACTCGTAGCCTGTATACAATTGACATGAAGCCTTCCACGCTCACTACATGTACCTTGTAGACATATATAGTATGCCAACCCGGCACGCACCTACACACCACACAAATGTCACGTACGAGGCCTCAATTTGGTGTTCAAATCTAGTGTGCGAATTCTACTTTCTGTTGATTTGTATGTATTTACAAATCTAAGCCCACGTACGAGGCTTTATCTTGGTGTTGAATTTGGTGTACGAATCCCCCAACCCCTCAATCTAGTTGACACGCGCTCACATACGAATCTAGGCTTACAATCTCACCAACGAGGCTCATCTTGGTGTCGAATTCGGTGTGTGAATTCCTCCAATCCCCAGTCCAGTTGACATGCGAGCTCACGTACAAATCTAGGGCACAAATCTACATTGAACCTACGAATGAGTCTACGTACGTACGAGACTGTTGGTGGGCGTGGTGTAGGGTGTTATGTACATTCAGGAGCATTGACGCGTCTAATAGCTATGATCTATATTTTTAATTACACGTAAAAGATAATGTATAATAATAAATATATAGATAATCACAGTAATATTACCGTCATATATCAAAGGCACTATCGTACTTTTACCCGTACCCTCACCATCATGTTACAGAGATCTCACCATCATCTTATAGAGATCTGTTATATGTCAAATCACGTAATGATCACACATGTATTAATTTTTTCGCCAGATGACGGCGCGCTGTGATATGACAGATCTTAATATGACCCTGCCTGACTCGGTGACCTACCCGAACCCACCATGCCAGTGACATGCCGGAAATAATTGAATCTTTCGAGGTCTTGAGGAGATACGAAACATGCATGAAATGCCCAGTGAAGAAGCCTCAAGCTTGTTGACGGAGCAGCTGTCACTTCTTGTGCACACTACATTATGGCGTGAACCCACGGTCGATGAACTGTTTGCTGATTGGCTTCTCTTCATACATCTTCCAGGTGCTAGGCAAATGAATATTTTTCACCGAGAAAGGACAAATTTAATTTTCTTTGTTTGCTTTCCCTCGATATGAAACTATGAAGTAACCGGTTACTCCTTAGTGGTTCGGATTTCTCTGATATGAAGGATGCACTCTAGAGCTGTACTGCGACGCCTCAGCGCTTAAAATCGTTATGTACAAGCGTTAATTGGCTCATGATCTATATACCCCTGCACATCCGGACCATCCCCCACCAAGAATGATACTACAGTTCATTATCGGCTTGACTTGGCGTCAAACAGTCTCATTGACTCGGGCGAATCATGATCATTAATACCCTTGACTATTGGGTCGGCTTGAACCTGGCTGATCAACATTATTTCGAATATTCTTCTCGTGACGTACGCGTCTAAATGAATACGACGAGGATTCCACCACACCAACTTTACGTGAATTTGTTGTGAGTGTACTAATCGACTTCAGCCCGAGAATCTCGCTGATTATTCGCGGATTATCTTCATCCAATGACACTGACTTACGTACATCTGTAATCACCCGGAGATTTTTCATGATCGTGTGCCTAAGAAATGATAGATTGATTGACAGACACAGACCGCGTTCTGGCTTGACAGATCCTTGCAAGGACGATCCCATTAGCGCCTCCATTGCATCGCTACAGCCTAGTTCAATACAACTGACTCCTCATTTCATGCAACCGATTTGTTCGCCTGCTTGACTGCGCCGCATTTTTGTACACGAGAGAGTGGTGGATATTGTGGAGTCAATTTCTTGATTTTTCGAATGTCAGCTCCGAATATCACCCGACTCTCTCCCTAGCTCCTCCTCGATTGTCCTCGTTCCCTCACTCTGTGCAGTATACCCTGTCCATTTCACATTTACCCGAGTAAATCATTTCGTCTCTCGCCAGGATAAAGCGAATTCGCGTACATTTTTGTACAACAAGAACGACAGCGAAGAGAACAGAGCGTTAAACAATCGACCAATCATTTACTATATTTACATACTTAAGGCGAATTATCTGTTTATAGAAAGATTGATGCATTATGCATGGTTAACCGCCAAAACTAGGCTCAGTTTGGCAGTTATCTGCAATTTTGACAGCTTATGTTAAGAATCTATTTTTACTGATTCCTGTCGGTCTAGCCCCGAAAGGTAATTAGCAGTCAAAGAATGTTTCTTAATTTATCTAGAAATGTGTATTTGAAACTCCGGCTTCGTGAAACTTAGCCCTATTGGGAGTAAATTTATGGAGCACATGTACAACTTGATTCTGGAGTAGTACATTATGCCATGAATCTGCCAATGATCCAGGCGTCGAACAGAAATGATTGATTAAAATTGATTCTCACTTTCATTTATTCTATGCCGACTCGTCTAGTTGCATGCATAGCCTGTAACAGTTACTGTCATACTTATGCTTATTTCTAAGCAGGTTGCTTGAAACAAAACGAGCGAAACTCAATCAAAGCTCCTTCTCACTTTGCTTTTCCTCCCGAGGAATTGCTACCCCAAGTGATACTTAATCTTGATGTCTACCACCATCTGACCTTCTCTCATTTTTTGACTCTTTCGTCCGTCTGAAGTGCCTTTCAAGAACAAGAGTCCTAACATTGCCGGCTGGTCCCGTGCATAACAGTGGGGTGATGAGGACATCTGTACAAGTCTTTGTTCGTTAGGTTTGCTCAGCCCGGTCTGCCCACTCTCCTCTCATCGCAATTGTCATCTTTGAAATCCCATCTCAACCTACCTATATCTTTCGTTCTTCAACAGCAGTTCTTCCATCGTTTTTGAACGGAAGAAGTCAGACAAAGACTGGAGAAGAACATCTTCTCTTCCCATCCTCATCATGGCAAATATCGTCAACACCTCGCTCGACATTATCCGGCGACACAAAACGCGGCACCCTCGCCTTCACTCACGCTGGGGCGACATTGCCATTACCCCTCCCGTCGAAGGGGCCTGGTCTCAGTTCGAAAACCCATACCTTCGTGACGACGAAGAGTATGGACCAGGCTTTGTTCCTAGTATAGACATTGGCAACAAGGAAGTCTTGCTTCTCGACTCCGCTAGCGAAAGCTCTGATGACGAGCTGGCCACAAAAGAAAAGATAAGCCTAAAAGAGGAAAAGACGGAAAAGGAAGCAGACTCAAAAGCTTTATCGAAGGCTAAAAGAATAACTCGGATCTTGCTTCCTTCGAGTGTCAACTCACCGGTCAGGAATTTATCACTCGACAAAGGCAAAGTCACGGACTTCCGATATAGGCCCGTGCAGCCAGATTATGCACAAGAAGTCGCCGAGAAGGTCGACAAGCAGAGTCGACCTCACTTCCGCTATGTGCCCGCCAGTAAGCACTACATGGAGGACTTGAAGAGAGTCGACATCCGGTTAAGCGATGGCGATATTTCTTATCGGCAAAACGACTCAGACGACGATGCTGATGACGAATATGAGTCCAAAGCAACCAAACGTAGTAGTCAACGATCACAAAGACTACGGAGTCACTCGTGTGATCCTGACGTTGGAGGCAGGTCACTTGTTGCAATCGCCACAAGACGGAAGCCTCGCTCTCAACGCGGAACACCTCTCGAAACAATCCACAGCCCAACCAGCACCTTGTCTGATGCCATGTCATCGGCTACGTTGTCACGACACTCGGCTTCTCGAGCCAACAGTACTTCCCGACTTGGAGAACATGAAATCAGCCCAAGGTTCTATGCCGCTCGCCGTGACACAAAGCCTCAAGTTATCACTGTTAAGCGATCGCAGTCTGCCACTAACAAGATAAATCGACGAACAATGACTCTAGAAATGGTTCGTGACCAAGATGACCTATGGTACTGAGATGGGTAGAAGAACATCATATAGTTTAGCCGCAACTTTTCCTCTCCTTCTGTCCTACTCTTTCTCTTCTTCACCTGATGAGGGCGTCTTGTCATGGCGGTTTGCTTTGTTTATCTTATGGAGTTAGCAGGTTAGCATTAGGAGGCGAATAATAATTTTCATTTTCAATCGAACTTAGGGTTTTTTATCCAAGCCCTAATTGCAATCAAGTTATGCTGGTGGTCGCCCGCAAGTTTTGTCCATGGATGACGGCATTCAAACGTATGTATGAGATCGGCCGTGATCCACTTCGGGTGCCCTAACATTCCGTATATAGGGCCTCATGCCACTTTATTGAACTTCACATGTTAGACAACATACTGATCATATTCTCTTCTATCCTCCTCAATAAGCTGTTTCACGACCCCGCTCACCTTACACATCCGTGGTTACTTCTCAGCGCAGATAAAATATCGAAAACGTCACAGCACCACATCCATCATGGCCGGCCAATCTGTCGTCGAGCTTCGCTGCAAATGCAAAGTACGTGACTGTTTCGTATACAAGTACAACATTCTGATGCATATGCTGACTCTTGCTACCCTCTGACAGACCGATCCCTGGGGCAAGAAAGGCGAGGATTCGCTTGCCGCCATACTAGCCTCTCAGCAACCGGGTACCGACTTCAAGATCGATCCTAACAAAACATATTCGGAGGTCCGTACCGCATACAATTTCTTCGGCAAGTTTCGCTTATGTTTCCGTGCTGACAGAAAGAATAGATGTGGATGGGCACTTATCCCTCTGTCCCGTCATTTGTCATAGCAACCGGCGAGACACTCGAAGACTACTTAAATAAGAACCCGAATCTGGTCGGAAAAAAGATCGTTGACAAATTCGGTGGCGGTCTGCCATTTCTGCCCAAGGTAAGTTAGTATTCGTCGGATCCGGTTTCATTGTTGACTCTTTGATAGATATTGTCGATAGACAAGGCTCTTCCTCTTCAAATCCATCCGGATCGCAAACTCGCCGAACAACTTCATAAGCAACTCCCACAAAAGTTCACTGATACAAACCATAAACCTGAGATTGCCATTGCGCTCTCACAATTCGAACTCTTTGCCGGTTGGAAACCACTCAACGATTTGACGCAACTGTTCCGAAATGAGACCTTGAAAAAGTTTCTGCCATCACCTGAATCTCACTTCAATGACGAAACCCTCAAACGGATAGGACAGAATATGCTCGAAGCCGACGAAAGGACCGTTGCCGCCACGATCAAGGAGCTTACCAAGACGCCGGAAAGTACATTCGGAAAGTATTCATATATTCCTAAGATGTTGGAAAGAGTTTCTGCCCAGTACTCCGAGTTCGACAACGGTACCCTCTTTGCCGTTGTGTGCATGAATTATCTAATTTTGCAGCACGGTGAAGCAGTTTATGTCCCTGCGGATGGTATGCATGCATACCTATCTGGTAATATCATGGAATGTATGGCCCGATCCGACAACGTTCTCAATACCGGATTCTGTCCTCGCCCAGACCGCGATAGTGTTGCTCTATTCTGTGAAGCCTTTACCGGCTGGCCTCATGATCCCGACGAGGCACGATTGGGCAAGCATGTCTCAAACAGAGGTCTTAATGGCAAGACCGTGGAATATGCGCCCCCTATTAGCGAATTTAATGTCCTTGCAACTCTTCTCAAAGCTGGCGAGAAGGAGAAAATGAACTCCATTGACGGCCCAAGTATTATTTGTGTTACCGGCGGGGAGGGTAAAATGACGGCTAAGGCTAGTGAGGGCAAGACATATAATCTGAAGCAAGGATCGGTGTTCTTCGTGGCGTGTGATGTTGAGCTAGAATTCGAGGCAACTAGTGAAAAGTTGGACATCTATAGACCTTACGCGGATTAGGTGTCAGTGAATGTGCAGTTGAAAGACTCCCTGTAGTCATGTCAGTGCTGGCAGATAGTTCACAATCATCTGCTTGGCGTCGCAAAATATATCAGAACCATTCAATCATCCGATGGCAATCAAGTCCAGGAACTCGTTGCTTCGGAGTGATGAATTCTATCAGGGAACGGAATTGAACATATGGCGAGTGTTGATTCATCGGCAGTGTAAATCATATCTGGAACATGCTTTCCTGACTGGAGCTTGCATTGGGCTCAGTCTAAAATATAAAGGAGCGTGATAAGTTCTGATCATGGTAATAAACGTCCACTATTGACCTTCATTTCCACGATAAACACTTTTCCTCCCACAAACTGTAGGCAAGGTAAAACGAGGGGGATCATGTCGGGAATAATCCGTTCAGTCAACAAGGACCTGGGCAAAGCAGCCATCTTGTTCTACTGCCCAACTAGGTTTGTACTATCTGGTAAACATAAATCAACCAGACCAAAAATAGATTCCCTAAGTAGTAGAAAAGTATGTTAAATGATCTCTCTATTGCTCACACAAGACGATGATAAAAGCAGAAGACCCCGCTTCTTAACCGCATTTTTCCTAGCTTTAATGCCGGTGATATGGAAAATTGCAGCTCATATAGGTACTTTTGATCCGAGTGTGGTGGAAATTCTATGAATAGGCCATTCCGGTCACATCAACGAGGCAGCCTTCTGCAACATCGGCAGAATCGCTCAAATCGAATGGACAAGCTAATCAATAAAGTGGGCAAGTGTAGATATATATAGGTACAAAAAGCGACCTTCATCAGCTTGCGACCCTCTCGAGACCGGTTGCTGTCGTTATCGTGTGCATATTATTTCTATCTTTAGCCTTTGTACTCCTCAAATTGCAAGGTTGGTTCTATTTATATGAGCCGTCTCCTCACTTCATATTGTGAGTTGTCATGTAACAACCTTCTAACCGAGGACCCTAGTTATAATAAGTCTGTAAAGCCTCGCCAGTAGACGGTCATGTCACTATCGCCGGTTATCGGCAATGGTGTAGGCAGGTCATGATTGATATTCGATATAGGGTAGAGAGAACCCATCTCTAAATAAATAAAAACTCTGCGGAAGTGTCAATTCTTATATGTTGTTGGACCTGTTCGGAAGGCCAATCAATTAGATATCGTATTCTCCAACTATACATAGATCAACAGAAAAAGAACCAATGTGAGGAGAAATGTGAAGCTGTATCATGGATCAGCCTGCAGAATTTAAATTAAGTACATTTATAGAAACAATTCCCATGCAGTTAATATATGAATTATGCATAAGAGACTAACTATATCGATATCTAGTCCAAATGTTTTTGAGAGCTCTCGTCCAACCATTCCATGGTGGCTCAAAAGTAGTAACCGAATTAGGACTTGCAGCGCTTACGGTGCTTGGCATGGGCCTCTCCTCCAACCACCTCTTTCGCCTCAAACACCACCGACACTATTTTCAGAATTCTTCAGAGTTTTTTCAGGACAAGCGCCGTGGTTAGCTACATATGAAATGCAGATTGTAGCCAATGAAGCGTCCGCGTTGGCAAGTCGTCTATTATTACTCCTTGACCTCTCCATATTGGGGTTATCTGCCGAGTCGGTAACTGTTGGAAAACTGCCTAACACACCAACACTCGACCTACACTAGCCAACATAGAAATCTCCTTGGAAGTTGAGTTTTGACTGGTGCCCCTTCATGTACCTCAAAATAGCTGACTCCGCGCGAGATGAAACTCTTTACCAACCACGCTAAGGGTGGCCGAGGGATACATAGACCTTGTGGTTCCCTCTCCCCACCTCTTCTTGCATTTTCTTCCTCTCTGGTGGTAGAGGAGTCAAAGAAGATATTATTGAGCGCTACATGGAGTGACAATTAAAGCTGGGCTTTGCTTGGGAGTACAACAACCTACTGCCGTGTAACAGCTCGCCTTCTGCCCGGAGTGGTACTCGGTCACTTCACAATATCAACATCTCATTCATCATTGGCACGAGCATTATACTGTACGGTTATGGTATAGGGTCGACTTGACATCTCACGTCCTCATCATAACAGCTCTTGCATATTAGTACAACTATGACGCGGCACATCAGAACATTACAACAATCACGTCAATTGCTGGCTTTGGCTCTGGTAGCTAGCTGTTTGGCTGCTACTGTGCAGGCGGACAGTAGTGTTGGTACCGATGCTCCGGGTTCGAACCCAAATAGTGGACCGACAACAGCATACAATGAGGCAGGTGCCTCGGGAAGTAATGGCGGACTATCAAAGACAGCCCAGATCGCGATTGGAGTAGTCGTTGGGGCCGTTGGTCTTGGAGCGAGTAAGTCCCTTCACAATATTCTTGCGACACATTTTTAGTCTCGGTCAATTATTAGAACATGTACTAACCACCATTGTGTGACACAGTCGTCGGTGCTGTAGTATTCTTCCTTCGAAGAAAAAAGAAGTGGGACGAGAAGATCAAGCGCTACGAAACTATCAATGCTTACCACACCGCCCAAAGAGAGACCAAGAGACAACAGGCTATGTCAAACAGACAACAACGCCGTCAACGGCAGCAGGAGCGTGACGCCGAGCAAGGAATGCTAGAGATTTCTACACTTCCGAAAGACCATACTCGAGACTCTGTGATACCCAACTACAACCCATCGACATTCCACAAACATCAATATAGCTTGGAGTCTAGCCGAGGGTTATCGATAGATATGCCGCGAGAACCTTTGATAAGTCAACATCAGAGGCAGTCGTCATCTGTCTCAAATGCCATCTCAATAGTACCACCGCCTCCACCCCCTCAAAAGTCAGCAAGCAAGAGGTACAAGGGGTTCAGAAGCTACAATGCGCAGGTAACCACCACAGACGCAGTGCAGTCTGAGAACAGCACTTCAGATATACAACCTTCTCCGAACAATCAAGAAAAAGCCAAGGGACCAAAGAAGCCCAAGCCTGCGTTGACTCGTTTGATAACGAACTTATAGACAGATTACATGAATGATATGATTATTCGTCATGACACTCATATATTTCGTTGCTATTCACGACGTCTTCGCGTTCAATGAGCTTGATGACTAGCTTACACCATCTTGCCCATCAATGCCTTTGCCGACTGCCTTCCAGCGGGGGTGTTCGACTGAGGTGGTTATTCAGACCTACACCCACCCACGTATGGGAGCACAGCATAGGCGACGATACAGAATTCCTATGACAGATACTCAATCAGTGATCTATGGGTTTTTACACTTTTCCACCATGGACATGATTGCCACCATGATGTCTCTTCAATCTTGCATCTAAATGCTTCTTTAAATTTCTGCTTTAATGATACCAGCGACGGCGTCTCGGAAATTTCATTCCTAGAGGGAAGTTAATTACTTACGGGGTTTCATTGGGAGGTCTTTGTGCGATATTCTTTGTTACTATTTTCTTTTGAAAGATTCATATTTGCGTTATCTGATAGCTAGACATCATGACCCCGAGCATGCACAATGAAAATGACTAGTCTGCTTCGATAGTCGCATAGAATGAAAGTGAATTCTTCAGACTCGTGAGCCACTGTCGAGGATAGAAATCTGTAAAGAAACCGAAATATCGAAACGAGCATGGGATAGCACGCATAAATAGCTCAAGAATTCTTCAGCAACCCTGAAAAGACTAACAGATAGACTTGCATGCGTAGGGCTCGTATATGACGACAAGAGATCAATGAGTGAAGACGGCTCGATTAGATCGGACGGCCGTGCATGGCCTATATTGAGATCTGATGCAATGCATCTAAATTTAGTACGTAGCTTGGATTAGGGTTTTAAGGTTGACGGATATCGCGAGTCCTAACTTTAACCTTTTTTCATCCTCCATCAAGTATGACGTACCTGTGCGCTTCAAGCCTACAAAGAAAAGGGGATCTTCTTGGTTCGCTCGAATATTAACCTTGATCAATCGTTATGGCTGTATTCAGAATATTACACCAGCGCAGAGAGCACTTGGAGAGTCGATATATAGGGGTACCACTCGTAGCCTAGAACACTCTACTTGTTCACAAACGAATCTTATGCTTCAATATTGACTACAGTGCATGCCTAGGCTGGCTTGTTTCGGGGCTTGAGTTTTGAGGGAAGCTTGATTGCTTTCAACTCGTACAGGTATCTCTTAGTTTCTTGATTCTGGCATTCTGTTTCGAACCTATGAAGTGGTTCCTTCAAAGACTAATCTCCTTTTCTCTCTGGTATTCAGTCTATCCAGTATCTACGTCCTGGACTTACTAGCGAGACTCACATCCCTGTAAGGAATTGATGATACATGGTTCGCAAGAAAGTTTTATCAGACACCTTGGTTTGCCTTCAGATATATATTAGTGAGATGGAACTTAGTACAAGTGTTGCGAACTATGCATTGATAGAGCAAACTGTTTTTCAGCGGCCTCTCCAGGACGTGGACTTGTATCTCACGCTATTGCATAATTTAATGTTCGGCATCATTGCAAAACTTGGTTCCCAAAAAGACCGAACTTGTTTAATCGACTATACAGCTTAATAGTATCGGTAGTCGTACCTTTTAGTTCAAGAATATTGTACCGGATATCACCGGTAATTTAAAATACCTAGAACGCCATTGTGAGTAAAGGATGCCGTATTTTACGTTGGCTGGCAGCCGGTCATCTCTATGTTAGGTCAGGCATGAATTGCGTGACCCAGATGTATAAACATTGTTGTTGCATTCAATGTTGAGAAGGCTTACAAGGATAATTTGGAGGGCGATCTACCGACTTTTTACCGAAGCATAATACGTCCATTTAATGGATGGTTTGACGTCGTCTGCAGTTAAGCGCTTTCATGATTGTTTCAAACCAATTAAATCAACCACCTTTGGTCCTTACATATTGGTACTATGCAGGCAATCACAAACGGATCTACTGGTATCACGTAGCAATCAATATAATTTACTAGGACTGTTCACCTTCTCCCCCCGCTTACCACT